GAGCTTGTTGGGCACCCCACGTTGCTTTCAATGAATCCAAACCAGTGCTGGTGGAAACAGTCCGGTCGAGAAACCCCATTTGTTAGCACAATATGTTTGCAAGTGTTGTCATGTTGTCACAAATGGTAAGCATTGATTTGCACATTGCCTTTGCAGTAAACATGCGATATGTGGTCCATGTGTCCGACGAGTTTTGCAATGACAAACCGCCTGGTGTGATCAACGCGTCGGGGGGTTGGGTTTTGCTTGCAGCAGCTTTGCTTCCGTTTGAACTTGACGTCCCCAGCCTCCAGATGAACAACTAATTAATGGAGAACAATATCAACCGTGCGGTGGGCGCCGACAAGAAAAATACGGTTACGAATTTCAGAATGAAAAACCGTGGATAAGGAAAAAAAAACCGAACAAAACGTGTTGCTCCGCCACTTGCTCCTTGGACAAATCGGAACGAAACGGTTTGGGGCTCAACACGCGCCCGTGCTGCATGCCAGCCTAAATTGTAGAAAAAATCGGTTGCGATCCCTATCTCAAAATTAAAATACAGTTTTTGGGAAACCCATGTGCGAAATTTTCTCTATGGGGCTGCCCTCAACGCCCATAACATAGCATATGCTTTTGAAGGGTCCCAAAGCTTTGCAGGCCATTTTGTGGGGAGTTTCGTGCGCCTTGCCATATTGCACGGGCAATAAAATATATGCTTTAGGCAAAAAATCACTGCCATATAGCAATTTCAAAATAGTTTGAAAACTTGGCTGGGTTGGGGCCATTCCTTTTGTAAGGAATCACTTTTTCCCGAATGCGTAGCAAGGGTTCCCGTTTCACTCTGGGGGTCTGGGGGTTGAGGGTGTGTTCGCTCGACGTTGCGTCCGCGTACGCAACCGTTCGCAACCGTCCGCAACCGTTCGTACGAACTCCGTATGGCCGTGCCTATGGGAAGTTCTGCAGAGATGGTCATTTTTGGAGGTTTCAGACGTCTGGTTGCTTCGTTTCGCGTGGCAGGCGTGGCACTTCGTGACATTCAGACGTGTTCTGCAACGTGTCGAAAGTCGTTACGCGTGGCAGGCGCAATACTTTTGCGACGTTTTCAGAAGATGTGTTGCAGTTTTCGTGGCAGGCGCAGCACTTTGGGCGTGTCCATCGCCATTTTTCGTGGCGCAGCACTTTAGACGTGTCCTTTTGCGTGTTTTTTGTAAATCGCATTGGCAGGGCTGCGTCAAGTGGCGACAAGGTGCAAATTCCGTGGCAGGCGTGGCATTTTGTGCGATGTGGTGAAAATTGACGGAAGCCTCGCACGAAACATCGATTTTGAGGTTGCAAATTTTCAGGTTCTAAGGAAAACTCGCAGGAAAACGTCGATTTTGAAGCTACAAAGTGTGAAAATTGGAGGAAGTCTCGCACGAAATGCTCGTTTTGGTGCTCCCACCTGTCTCGTCTCGCGTGTCTGGTTTTCCCGTGGCCTCGCCGTGTCTATGGGGGAAGCTGCAAGACTTGTCCTTTTGTCATGTTGCCAACTGTGAAAATTGCCGGAAGTCTCGTACGAAATGCTGGTTTTTCTGCATTCACGTGTCTTGTCTCGAGTCGCTGGTTTTCCTGTGGCGTCGCCGTGTCTATGGGGGAAGCCGCAAAACCTCTCCTTTTTGAAGGTTTCCAAGGAAGTTGTCATGTCGTTTTGCGTGGCAGGCGTGGCACTTTGTGACATTCCAACCTGTTGGATGATGTTCACAAAATGTCAAAATTGGAGGAAGTCTCGTACGAAATGCTTGTTTTTCTGCATCCACGTGTCTTGTCTCGAGTCGCTGGTTTTCCTGCGGCGTCGCCGTGTCTATGGGGGAAGCTGGCAAACATGTCCTATTCGAATGTGTCCAAGCAGGTTGTCATGTCGTTTTGCGTGGCAGGCGTGGCACTTTGTGACATTCCAACCTGTTTGAGAACGTGTCGAAAATATCGAAATTGGAGAAAGTCTCGCACGAAATGCTCGTTTTTCTGCATCCACATGTCTCGTCTCGAGTCGCTGGTTTTCCTGTGGCGTCGCCCTGTCTATGGGGGAAGCTCCGCACTCCACACTCTACACTTTACACTCCACACTCCACATTTACACTTTAGACTCCACACTCTACACTTTACACTCCACACTTTACACTTTGCACTTTACACTCCTCACTCCTCACCTGAGACTTTACACTCCACACTCCACACTTTACACTACAATCTACACTTTCCACTCTTCACTCCTCACTCTACACTTTACACTCCACACTCTACACTTTACACTCCACACTCCACACTTTACACTACACACTCCTTTCTTTACACTCCACACTTCACACTTCACACTCCACACTCCACACTCCACACTTTACACTCCACACTCCATACTTTACACTCCTCACTCCACACTCCACACTTTACACTCCACACTCCACACTTTACACTCCTCACTCCACGCTTTACACTCCTCACTCCACACTCTACACTTTACACTCTACACTCCACACTTTACATTTTACACTCCACACTCCACACTCTACACACCACACTCTACTCCACATTCCACACGCTACACTCTACACTTTACACTCCACACTCCACACTTTACACTTTACACTCCTCACTCCACACTCTACACTCCACACTCCCCACTTTACACTCCACACTCCACACTCTACACTTTCCACTCCACACTCCGCACTCCAAACGCCACACTTTACTGTACACTCCACACTCCACACTTTACACTGTACACTCCTCACTCAACACTCCACACTTTACACTCCTCACTCCTCACTCCACACACCACACTTTACACTCCACACTCCACACTTTACACTCCACACTTCACACTCCACACTTCACACTTTCCACTCCACACTCCACACAATAATCCACTCCACACTCCACACTCCACACTCCACACTCCACACTTTACACTCCTCACTCCACACTCCACACTCCACACTTCACTCCACACTCCACACTCCACACTTTACACTCCACACTCCACACTTTACACTCCTCACTCCACACTTTACACTCCACACTCCACACTTTACACTCCTCACTCCACGCTTTACACTGCTCACTCCACACTCCACACTCTACACTTTACACTCTACACTCCACACTTTACATTTTACACTCCACACTCCACACTCTACACACCACACTCTACTCCACATTCCACACGCTACACTTTACACTCCACACTCCACACTTTACACTTTACACTCCTCACTCCACACTCTACACTCCACACTCCCCACTTTACACTCCACACTCCACACTTTCCACTCCACACTCCGCACTCCAAACTCCACACTTTACTGTACACTCTCCACACTTTATACTGTACACTCCTCACTCCACACTTTACACTCCTCACTCCACACTCCACACACCACACTTTACACTCCACACTCCACACTTTACACTCCACACTCCACACTTCACACTTTACACTCCACACTTCACACTTTCCACTCCACACCCCACACTCCACACAATAATCCACTCCACACTCCACACTTTACACTCCTCACTCCACACTCCACACTCTACACTTTACACTTTACACTCCACACTCTACACTCCACACTTTACACTCCACGCTCTACACACCACACTCTACACTTTCCACTCCACAGTCCACACGCTACACTTTACACTCGGCACTCTACACTTTACACTCTAAAATTACACTCTACACTTCGCACTCTACAATTTACAAACTCCACACTCCACACTTTACACTCCTCACTTTACACTCCACACTCCTCACTCCACACTTTACACTCCTCACTCCACACTCCACACTTTGCACTTTACACTCCTCACTCCACACTCTACACTCCACACTCCACACTACACTCCACACTCTACACTTTACACTCCATACTGCACACTCTACACTTTACACTCCGCATTCTACACTTTACACACTCTACACTCCCCACTCCACACTTTACACTCCACACTCCTTACTTCACACTCCACACTCCACGCTCTGCACTTTCCACTCCACACTGCAGACTGGTAACAAGGGAAACATGTACAAGACTGTTCAAATAAACTATTGCAGAAAGGTATTGTGCGTGACTGCATAACCATGTGTTTTGACATCTGTACCATTAACATACGTGTGAGCATTCGGGTTCGTGGGCTTCATCTTGTTTGATTGTAAGGCGTCATTTTGTAGGGATTTGGTGTTATTCTTGGAAAACGAGCTGCGCGCCCACTTTTGCAGGGATTTGGGTTGTTGCATCAAGCCTCGAGGGTGTCACCAGGATTGTGTTCTTTTGTAAAAGTCACTTAAACATTGTTTAGGATATGAAAATTGAATTGCCATGTGGATTTATTAAGGGAGTATTTCTGTCAATATGGCAAGTTTTGCCGGGCAACTGAACAATTGCTGGCGCACTTTCATTTTGTAGGGTTTATGTGGTGACACCGTTTCATTGTGTAAAAAGGGACAGCAAGCTTCACTCTTTATCGGCTTTGGTAAACCAAAAAAAACAAGGCTGCACATATCAGTGGACCCATTTCCTTACAAAAAGGATGGGTTGCCCTTTAAAGACCATTGAGGGCTGAGTGAGAAAAACGCAGGGACATGGCAGAGGAACAGGTTCTTACAAAATGACCCTTTTTTGGGGCGCAGGGTCCAAGCATGCAAGCAAGGCTCATATTCAGAATGGTTGAAATGAAAAAAAATGGCAAAAAATACTTCCCTACAAAATAGGGGGTGTTGCAAAAAGTTGGTTGATGTACCAAACCACATGTTTTTTTGCAGGCCCCGGGGTTTATAGCTACAAAATGTGGGCCCTGACCATTTGGGGTGAATTTCAAGGGGAACCATATGCCATTTGCAGCGCAGGGATCCCAAAGCGTTCGTTTTCAAGGTAAAAACCACGCGCAGAAACCTGTTGAAAAACATGCAAACAAAATGTCATACGTCGTGTGCTTGTTAAAGTGAAACCTTGGTGCCGGTGGCAATCAAAAAGTGGCAGGTGCCATCATGGATGGGTTGGACAGCAGGAGGCTCGCATTTGCAAGTTTGATTTTGGGTCAATCGGAAGGAGTGGAACAATTGATCAACATTGTCACGTGCGGCCAGGCCTGTTATGTGCAAGTTGCATAAGTTTGATGTTGACTGGCATGGAAATCCGACGCTTGTTGGCGGCAGTGTCAGCTTGGCGAATGGGCCCGGCACCGCCACAAGTACCTCACCTTCATTGATACTGGACATCAAACCGCTGTGTTGTTTGGATGGTTTGGATGTTTGTAGTTTAAATTGTTTGCATCTCAGGGTCGATCAGGTGACAGATCATCATGCAGTTTGTCCTTGTGATTGCGAACGCGGTTCTTCTGATGAATTTTCCGAAGAATTAGACCGTTGCCGTGCAGGCGTGTGACAATTTGATGGTTGCAGGGTCGACTTCCGAATGTGGAACCAGTTCGTTGCTCTCAAACGCAACATACAATATGCAGGTGGAAAATGTTTCTTTGGCAACGGCTGGTGCTCTCGCACCGTCCCGTCCTTTGAAACTTCAGAACGTTTTCCGCACTCCGTTGGCGGCTGAGTTCAGCAACCTTGGGTCAAGGGTTTCAAATGACAACAGTTTTGGTGGACAGTACCCCCTTGCAACGGCCAGACCTCATTTTTTTTCCGCCTTCCCCTTTGTGAGGCCATGAGAAGTTGCCAGAAGAGACGTTGCGGCGGCCCCCGGGCGCACAGTTTTAACGTGACCTGCGATCGTGGCAACGATCCGCCATTTGCGGTGGATTGGTTGGTGCGACATTTTGGAAGTCAGGTCGCTGTCCCGAGATGGGAACTACTGATGTCGACCACAGAAGGATGTGCTGCGATTGTTGTTTTGATGTGTTGCCACGTTGCAAACCTCCATCCACCTTCCGAGCAGGTGCGCGGACTTCTGAAAGATGGTGCTGCAGGTGTCAACCGCCATTTGAATGCTCCAGGCGAGCTGATTTGCTGTGATGACAGGTGGGCTAAACAAATGCCATGGGAAACGACTCAAATGTAGGGTGCCTTTGGTGCCGGGTTGGAGGGTCTCGAATTCATGTCACATGATTCATGTCCAAGTCCATGTTCATATCCCTTTGACCCATTTACATATTCCCAAGGCCCAACAGCAAATCTGTTGGGTTTCAATCTCTGGGGCCGGGGACTGTTGACCCATTTTGAACCATTTGCTTTGTGTTGCTCCGTGGGCATTTAGACGGTTTGAAATTGCCAGGTGGGGCGCTAGATGCCAATGGTTTTCATGGTTTGCAGTTGGTTGTGAGTTCCTTGCCTGCACAGCTCAGTGATCCCAGTTGGGTGCTGCCAGACTTGGCCAATCCTGACAGGTGATGATTTGGTCGACACTCTTGAGGTGCAGTTGGATCGTGGCTGGATGGCAAATTTTGTAAAACAAAATGAACGAATAGCATCATGACAGATGCATGGGATGCAAGGCCCATATCATGCGTGTTACCCGCATTGAACTGCATTTTCGCTAGCTGATTTGCTTCCGCAACGGTCATTTCAGCTGATCGTGGGAAGAGTTCAGATGGGGTCTCGAGCGACTAAAAAATTGGGGCAGCCGGCAAACCAGAGTTCTAGTCTAGAGGTTTCGAACAGCACTTTCCCCCGTAGAACGGCAATCAACTGCAATCATTCCCTCATTTTGCATTGGGCCCAGGTCTATCAGTGGTGTGGCGAATCGGTTGCTGGCCACCTGCGCGTTACGTGGTCGCTGGTGGCATTCTCCGTGTGAGATCTGGATGGGTGCGACTCGCAGCTGGTGATTTTACCTTGGAGGTGAGATATGTAGAGATCGGGTGAGATGCCAAACTTGACCCCAAACAAATGCGGGAAGCAGGATCCATTGGCTCTAAATTTGGTTTACTAATGTTTACTACCAACATTATCATCTAATTAAACGGCTTGATGATAAGTCAAGTGGTTTGATAGGGATGATATCCCATTTTAAAACCCCTATTCGACAGGGAGGGTACTCGCGCTTAATTTTAGATCATCATAGAAGATTTTTTTAAAAACATACCAGCAAGGAAGGAAGGTGTATCTGGGATATCTCTTAGACAGGGATAGGCTCAGGTGATCAACGGGATGGAATGGTCTTCCAAATTTTTGAGACAGCCTAATGTGTAAGGACTGGACCGTGTGAATCAAACATGAATTGTACCAATAGACCAGGGGACTATCCGTGGCTGGTCATTTTGTGCATGAAAGCGTCGCTCTGAATGGGGGCGATATTTACCCATATCCGTTCGTGGATCAAAATTCAAGACCTGGCAACTTGCGACCAACAAATTCTGGATCCTCAATTTTGATCCCAAATCCGGCACTCCCATTTTTTAATAGTGGCGTTGCTGTGCCTCAAACCTAGGGGCCCACGTGAATGATGGAGTGCCACCCCTTTTCCATCTACTTTTCAGACTGGTCCCTGTGCAGGTCCATCTGTCTGATGGGTTGCTTGGCCCTTGTGTGTTTGTGCGTGTCCGACACGGCCAATGGAGCTGGGATCCCCGGATTTGCGCTTAGCGACCGAGGATCGTGTGGTTCACGGATCTGCGCGTAGAGATCAGCTGCCCGGAAGGCGTCTTCACCATCGATGGATTTGGAGACGGGGCCTTGAACACCGGGGCCCTCTCCACGGCTTCGTTGAAGCTGGCGCCTGAAACCAAAGTGTCAGGAACGTTCGGAGCTATGGGTCTCCATATTCCTTATTCAATGGGGGTAGCCCGGGGTAGCTCGGAGCTACCCCGAGTTTCCCAACCACATGATAGTGGGAATTTGATGGAATGTGATATATAGATGGATCTAAAGATTGGGTTCAAAATGCTGAGAACTTATACGCCTTAGATTCTGTGATTTTAGAATCTAGAGGGTTCCAAATACTTCAAATACTGTAGCCGCAGATTTCATGTTGGGCACATGTCATGTGGGACCAGCGGTTGATGGGGGGATGAACATCCAAAGGGGTATTCCGATATTCCAGGCTTGTGACCCATACCTGTGTGACAATGTCAGCTGTGCCCAGTTGGATGGTGATGCTACAGAAATGGTTCAATGAGAATTGCAGTAGCACTGCTCAACTGTGGGGATATAGGATCATTCCATATGTACACATGCAGATGAATTCCCGGGGTGCTTGATTGGATCTCGATGCCCCACCCAAGCAACTACCGTTGTGTGCATGATGGCAGGAATTCGATGCAGCGGTGGTTGGGGGCTCTGGTGCTGGTGGGTAAGACATCTCGCACCTGAGTCTTTCGTGTGGGAGCAGTTGCCAACCATTCTGGCCAGGGACTCAAAGACACGTTGTGAATTTCGGCAACTTGGAAAAATATTGAGATCTTGTTGGTGGTTGTGGTAATTATATATACCGCACAAGGCGGTGGCGGAAGTTTCAAAAAGGAAACCTATAGGAGAGGTTGGTTGTTGTGAATCACGGATGGCAGACCGAAGCCACTGATGGACCGAAAGGTGGTTGAGGTCTCTTCTCTTTCTCTGTCTTTCTGTCTCTTTCTCTGACCATCTACCTACCCACCTATCTATCTATGCATCCATCTATCTCTCTCTCTGTCGTGTAGTGCAGTGTGGTGTAATTAGTGTAGTGTAGCGTAGTGTAGTGTAATGTCATTAGTGTAGCGTAATGTAATGTAGTGTAGTTGCAGTTGCAGTTGTAGGTGTAGTGCCGTGTTATTCAGTGTAGTGTAGTGTAGTGTAGTGTAATTAGTGTAGTGTAGTGCAGCGTAGTGTAAATGTAGTATTGTTGTTGTTGTTGTAGTAGTTGTAGTTGTAGTCGTAGTCGTAGCTGTAGTTGTAGTTAGTGTAGTGTAGTGGAATGTAGTGTAGTGTAATGTAGTGTAGTGTAATCGAGTGTAGTGTAGTGGAGTGTAATGGAATGTAGTGTAGTGGAGTGATGTAGTGTAGCGTAGTTGTAGTGTAGTGTAGTTGTAGTGTAGCGGAGTGGAGTGTAGTGTAATGTAGTGTAGTGTAGTGGAATGTAGTGTAGTGTAGTGTAATATAGTGTAGTGGATGGAGTGTAGTGGAGTGTAATGTATTGTAATGTAGTGTAGTGTAGTGCAGTGTAGCAAAGTGCAATGTAGTGTAGTGTAGTGTAATTGAGAGTAATTGAATGTAGTGTAGTGGAGTGTAGTGGAGTGTAGTAGAATGTAGTGAAGGTGTAGTGGTAGTTGTAGTTGTCGTGTAGTGTAATGTATTGGAGTGTAGTGTGGTGTAGTGGTGGTTGTAGTTGAAAATGCTACAAAACCCTTCATGTTTTTGATCACTTTTGACAAGGTGCACAATCCCTTGCGCCTGCCACGCGAAGCGACATCTGAACCTCCAAAGGTGGTCCGAACCCCTGGTGTTTTGTACATTTTGACTTCGAAATGTGCTTCGCGCCACAACGGCGTGCACTTTTTCGACATCTGAACTTCTAAAAGTGGTCCGAACCCCTAGTGTTTTTAACATTTTGACTTCGAAATGTGCTTCGCGCCACAACGGCGTGCACTTTTTTGACATCTCAACTTCCAAAAGTGGTTCGACGCTGCGGTGTTTTGTACATTTTGACTTCGAAATGTGCTTCGCACCACAACGGCGTGCACTTTTTTGACATCTCAACTTCCAAAAGTGGTACGAGGCTGAGGTGTTCTGTACATTTTGACTTCGAAATGTGCTTCGCGCCACAACGGCGTGCACTTTTTTGACATCTCAACTTCCAAAAGTGGTCCGAACATGAGGTGTTTTGTACATTTTGACTTCGAAATTTGCTTCGCGCCACAACGGCGTGCAATTTTTCATCTTTCATCTGGCCAGCTGGCTCCGCACCCGCCTCTTTCTCTTCTCTGATCTTGTCTCTGCTACTCTCCTCTTCTTTCTGCCTCTGCCCAGCTCTGCTTTTCATCTGTCCATATTGTCGGAAGTTTGACTTCTAAACTTCCTTCGATAATATTTGTTGATGAAAAGATCATGAAATCTGGTTCCAAACAGCACTTTTCTTCACCGGCAGGTTGACGTGATCCAAAGTTTCACCGGCTTCGCCTTGGCCAACGGCTGCCATCTGAGCCGCAACAGCTTCGCCTTGCTGCCCTACGTCCACAAAGAGTGCTGCGAGGAGAACTACCGGAGCGACCACAACGGATGCCTGGTGGGAGGTCAGTTCAATGGCAGGTGGGATGCCAAAATTGGAGTTGCAAAGCATTTGGATAACTGATAACCACTACCCATTGGATCCGGAGGTTCATGCCGCAAGGCCCAGTTGAGGGAGTGGATTGTGCCTACAACAAGGACCCCCTGGTGGCGATGTGGTGAGATGCAACACCGGCACCTGGCGCGCACACCGGGATAGATAATGCATGAACATATACAAAATAGATGAAAATAGATACACAGAAATTAACAAGTGTACATACACAACAAAAATAGTAGTAGAAACAAGTACGCATTAAAAGAGGTAGATGAAGTGCCGTATGCAGCATATGCATGAGCAAATAATTCAAACAAATACTCAAATAGAGAGATTTTGCAGCACAGAAACGACAGAAACGACATCTCAGCTGCAGGACTTGATGTCTTTCCAGGCAAGATGTGAGGCAGTTCCTGGCAGCTACACCGAGAAGTCGCCGGGTGTCTGTTGGGAGGCCGGGAACCGTTGATGTTTTGAAGACCTATAGATAGTAACCCCCCAGCAAGATGTAGAAAAGGTTGAATTTACTTGGATTTACTTTTCTCTCTTTTTTCTGTGGTTGCTAGATTTGGGATTCAAGCATCCAAAATAGGAGATTTCATGGGACAGACGCATCAATGGGGATTTATCCATCTAACTTGGTCTCTTAAAAAGTCGCCTCAAACAACCTTACTGCCTTACTATAAATTATAAGCAACGTTGGAAAACCATCAGTTTGAACATCGCAAAATCAGATTCGTGATGGTGACTTATCCAGAACATGTGCTGCTATGGAACCTTCTGAGTAAAGATGACCATGTAACTCTGGTTCAAGCTTAGGAGTTAAAACCGTCACCATTTGTGGATATCACGGTTTCACCTGGAAACCCGTGGATTTTTTCCTCCTTTCTGCGGGTGCCAATTCTAGGTGGGTCTTCCCTGGCGCCCACCGACGTATCCCAACTTCGATGGGCAAGCCATCAAAAGGCAAGTGTGGCAAAGCGTGTCGGCGACTGAGTTTTGTTAGGTCTTGGAAGGTTTGCAGGATTTTCCAGGTAAATTGCTGGAAAGCCAATTTTTGTTCTTTTCAAATATCACAGTTATTGGGGGAATTATGTTACGACCCACTTGCAAACCGCTTGCCTGAGTTGTTGAAATTCAAGGGTTTCTTCGAAGATCGCTTATTTCCAGGAGGACAGTTCTTGGAGGTGCAATCCCTTCCCACCAATAGCCATTGGATCTATTCACGTTTAACGCCGACTCAAAGGAATTCGATATTTAGATATTATATTTAGTATATACAATATTATACAATGACTCGGATGGTTTGAGAAGGGATGCAGTCCATTCAGCTAATTTCAGGGCCATTGGCTGTTGTATATTTTCTAGATTGCAATGAGTTAGTAAATGAAACCAAAATGATGCCAAATAGACCCAAGTAATGTAATAACTCGCTTTCAGATTCCACTTCATCAAAACCCGTTTTTTTCCTGAACCCTGACCTCTAATTTGAGGGGTTACCTCCAAAAGTTGATTGTCTAAATTTTTACCGAAATCTGGTACCCCCGATGAATCATAAACTGGGTATACGGTAGATCCTGACCGCTGAAGGCAACGGCTGCTGCTGGCAGAGCTGACGATTTCGATGGCCCTGTGGACCATTCCTCTGATACTTCTGGCAGCGGACTCAGTTGGCGGGTTGTGCTATGTGTCTGGCGAAAGCTTGGCAGAATAATGAAATATGATGAAACCTTAATCAATAGGTGCCAGATTTTTGAGCGCCACGAGGCCAAGGGTGCTTTGGTCTTTCGACGAACTTCCCAACGGGAATTTATCCGGATGCGCACATAGCTGAGTCAAAAAGAAGTGGTGTTCGAGCCTGTGTTCTGGATGCTTTCTGGAGGAGTTGTGCCTGAAAATGATTGACCTGTGACAAACGATGAGAGTTTTGGTGATGGCTGGAGGTTCAACCCCAACATTGCCACTGGTTTGGGGGATTTTTTTGGGTAAAGTCTGGTACCTCCCAAAGCGCGATGGAGTGTCCTACTTCCACAGACTTTGAGCTTGACGCCGCGGCTGCCGGCTGCGACGGTTGCAGCCATGGCGGCGTACACAGTGGCTTTCCAGGGCGAAAAAGGTGCTTACAGCCACTTGGATTATGATATCTTCCAGCTGCAGTGATTTTTTTGGCAAATTCGTATTCTCCAGGCATTACTGATAAGCATCCTGAGGCAGAATTGGCCTAGAGAACCTACTTTTGTTTTTGCACCACATATTGTTTCGAGTGCCGACGAGGCGAGCAAGCGACCTATGCCTTGATGGGCCGGGAAGGAGTGGAAGCCGTGGGCTATCCATCCTTTGATGAAGCTTTTGCGGCGTTTTGGCGGCAATTTGGGTGGATATTTTTTGGAAAAAAAGCAAAGTGATTCGTTTCTAGTGGCTTTCAAGCTTTTTTTACTTCGATGAGCCTTGATGGATCTCCCGGTTGTGAGGCGATCAGCAACGGCAAGGTGCATTTGCTGCTGGTGCCCATTGAGAACACACTGGGCGGGACCATCCACGCCAACTGCGATTTGCAGTTGCAGCACAATCTCTTCATTATCGTTTCTTGTTCATCTTGGATTCAACTGCCTGTTTCATGAGGCCGTGGCCACAAAAAAAAGTAGTCTTTTTAGTGCAATGAACCATACAGAGGAATGGCGGATTGAAAGCAATTCGCATATCTTGTGGGTACTCCCAGCCTAACCGTGTAAAAAAACTATCAGCCACACCCCAAGAATGGACCCCAAAATGAATGGTTTCTAGTTTTTTTTTAAAAATAAACATTACAGGGAAAGGCTGGGATGATGGAATGTTTGTAGATGCTTGTCTCCGAAACTTTTTTTGAGACTGGAGCCCTCTGGATCAAGGCTGAACACAATCTCCGGATCCGCCACGCCCTGCTTGCGTTGCATGGGTCCAAGAAGGCAGGGAGATTGGAGTGGATGCCAGAGTTGGCGTCACAGCTGCGGGACCGTTTTCTCCGGAACCCCCCTGTTTAGTCTAAGTTGTCCTGCAGGAAGAGTTGAAGAAGGTGATTTCGCACCCGCAAGCTCTGGCACAGTGCAACTCCTACTTGAAGTCCAACGATTTGGTGGGTGAAGCGGCGTATGACACGGCCGGCAGCGCCAAGCTTATTGCTGAAGGTGGGATGTTTCTCCATGTTTGGCCCACCCAGCTGACTTTCGCTGATCATCTTAGTTCTGGTACATCACCAGCTGAATGTATAAGATTTCAATGTCTTACGCAGAAACATGAGAACTTGGTCCATAGAAATGGGGAGCCTAACGCAAGTCATGGTTTTCCCTTACTCATATGTAGGTTTGTCGCCCGAAAATAGGGTACCCCGAAATCATCCTAAATCCAAGGGTTTATCATAATCATGGCAGTTTTAGATAATTTTGGCGGTTTAGTATTGGATCAGATTGGGCCAGGCCAGCTGAAGGGCGTTGGCGCCATCTGCAGCGAGCTGGCTGCTGAGCACTTCGGGTTGGAGGTGCTGGAGAAAGGCTTGGAGAACCTGGCTTGTGGTTTCACAAAGTCGTGGACAGTTTCAATCCCTAAAAGTGGGATGACGCCCCAAGGACAAGCATTTTTTTGAGGTGGGTTGAGGATGGTTGAAGCCACCCGCCAGTCATGGCAGATTCGATTCACTACTTTCAGGTCGGTATTGTTTGAGTTGTATTGTTTAACAAATGGCTCAACACAACACAGGGAGGAGTTTAAACTCACAACATGGGAGATGAGACCAGGGACATCAAGTTTTTCGCCAGAGTCGGGTGTTCCAGTGCCCAACACTCAAATTGGATCTGTTTGGCCCTTCATTTTTCTTTTCGATCTCCACCTACACTACGGGATTCCATTGCTTGGCCTGGCGCGTTTCCCCATTGGCGTTCCGGCCCTTCAGCCGCAGGCATTGAAGATGATCAGAACAACTTCACTCGCTTCATCCTGCTGCGGGCGCATCCTGTGAGCTTGCCTCCGGGTGTTCCATGCAAGACATCCATCGTTTTCTCCCTGGATAACATCGCAGGTGCGATGGTCCAAACCAAGGGTTGTTCTTTCAGAGACGTGTTGGTCTCGGTGCTGGCCGTGAAACATCCGAATTCTGGTTGATTAATCAACATGAGTGATCAAATCCTCTTTTTTGCTGGTTAAATCTCTCATTCTTGCTTTTGATATTGGTAAAATATCACAATATCTACATGTTTGTGGCTTTCCCTGACAGGTGCTTTGTTCAAGGCCTTGTCAGTTTTTGCCCTTCGGGACGTAGACCTCTCCAAGATCGAGAGCCGGCCATGCAAAACGGAGCGGGGCCCGATGTGTGTGTCACACCCTGGTGTTGTTGGATTGGTCTGAGCGAAAATCTACAGGGTTTACCGGTTTACCTCTATTTGATGGGGCAACCCATGGGTTTACCTAGAAATGTTCCCAGCTAGTAAGATCTCTCTCTCTCTCTCTATATATATATATATATATGTATTAAGAAAATAAGAATCGTTCAATTTTCGACCATCATTTTTTCAATTTCTATCGGAACTTGGGGTTTTCCCCGCAGTCATGGAAGGATATCATGTCCAAGTTGGAGCGGCTCTACCTGAGCATGTCCAGCGTGGACATCACCAGGGCCAAAAGGCATAAGTCCAGTGATGCCCGGGACCCAGGGGACCCAGTTGCGTGGCATGGAAGCGCTGGAAGCGCCAGGAAAATGGATAGAATATGGTGGGATCGTGTGAATATTATAATGGGGAGAAACGTATCCACCCTTCTGTTCTGGTTTGTGCGAAAAAATTCTGAAAAAGGGGGCTTGAGATCTGGAATTTAGTTTTCGCTTTGAAACATTGAGAATTGAGACGATCACGGCCAAACCGGACTTCCATTGGCCTCCCACATGCTTCATCATCTCCATCATTTTCCAGGAGTTTACATGTTTTTCCCATGTTTTGATGCCACAGTTTGCCAGGAAAACCGTTTCCGATATCTTTTCTACGTCGACTTTTTGGCTTCCGTTGGGGGCCCCCAGCTGTTGCCGAAACTGGGCCTTCAGTCGGTTGCGGAACCTGAGAACCGAGGTGGAAGATCTCAACGTGTCGAATGCCTTGCGACACCTGCAGGAGATGACGACCTTTTTCAGAGTGCAGCTTGGCCAGACAGAGTTAACAAAATCCTATTTAATCAATATGAAACCAATAGTAAATTCCATTGAAATCCTATTAAGTTCACACTTTTGCTGGAGTTTTTGTAGTTTTGTTTTTTACTGCGCCATTTTGTTTGGAAATTGTGGTGGAGAGAAGATGAGTGGGAACTGCATGGTGATCTTGGACTCCTAGGGAATCCTGAGATTTTTGTGAAAATCATGCTCAAACATCCCCTATTCCTGGCCATTGAACCAGTCAACTGATATCGAGGTTGGGATCCTTCCCTAGGGCTGGCTCCTTGGTGGGTCTGGAACACCTGGGCAATCGCATCGCGATGCCGATCACTCCTTCCAAGCCGCCCAAGAAGCGGATCGGAGTACTGGGCTTTGGTACTTTTGGCCAATTTATAGCTGCTTAGCCGGGATTCTTTGTGAGCACTTCGATACTTTTCCATGCCGTTTTCAGTCTGAAGTCATGTCAATGTATATACGTATGTATAGAGAGATATGTAATGAATGATATACTCTGTTTGGGATGAAGTTCCTGGCTTGCAAATTTCCCGGTATTTGAGGCTAAAAAACTTTCGCTGGAGCATGATGTCTTCGCGTCAAGCAGGGAGAACTATTCCAACATTGCTTCAAATTGTGGCGTGTAGCTTGGAAGCAGCTCTCCTACTGGGGAAGGAATGACATGGGTGTGTCCAATGTCCAAGCAATGGCATCCAACCCTGATCTTTGCCTACCAAAATCTTTCGATGCTGCCCGGACTTTTTTTTTATCTAGTACTCTGGGGGCTGGGAAGCTCTTTACAGCTGGGTTCTCAGGACTTGGTGTGATTCCCTTGATGATCTGCTGGACCAACAGCTTGATGTTCTCATCATCTCAGCATCTTGACAACCAGGATGTTGGTGAAAGCTCTCATGTCATGCTGCTGGAGTTTTGCAAACCTGGGGATCCCAGATCATTGTTGAAGGCACCGTGCTGGACTAGGATTTTTCGTTGATTCTTTCTTCTGTGGCATTTTCTTGTTGACATCCAAGGTCAGCATATTGAGCTTTGAAGGAATTGTGCGACGAGTTTGCAGCAGCATAGCTGCCAAAGATGCTAGCGATTTGCGACTCGGCTCTGTTGCACTTCCTCATATTTCATCATTTGTCTAAGACAGCTGCTGGTTTTCCAATAACGATGCTGATTTTTTGTTAATGTTCCACAGTGTTGCCAGTACATGGAGTCAGGTCCCAGCGATTGCTTGTGGTCGATGTGCTTTCCGTGAAGGCGAGGAATCTTACTGTGACAGCATGGACTAGGCTCATTGCTCCCTGCTTGGAATTGGTTCAGGTCCACGCAAAAACCACCTTGCTGTCCCTGCTCCCGGAGAGCTGTGAAACTTGACATCTTTAGAGCTCCGCAAGTATTTGGGTTTGTTTGACAGGGTACCCCCAAATCATCAAATCCAAAATTTCGCCACTTTTGAAGGGGAAGTTAATGGTTTTTGGGGTCCCCATTTTAGGACCCCTACTTGCAGAAATTTGAGCAACAGACTTTGCCGCTGAGAGTTGCTGAACATTTTCTGAGGACATTCTTTGCACACATCCGATGTTTGGTCCACAAAGTGGCAAGCACGGCTGGACCGGCTTGCCTTTCGTCTTTGAGCGGGTAAGGCTCAACAATGCCAGGCCGCTGACCCTGGGGAATAGGGTATCTTCATCAATGGATTCAATGGGAATTTAATTTAACCCTTAGTCAATGGAAGTTTGGCCACTAATCAGCTGTTTTATGTTTTTTTTGTTTTTTTTTTTACGGATCCAGTGCCGAAAATGGCATGATTCTTGAACCAGTGGCTCTGGCACGGTCTGGAACATCTCCCGGGACAGCCCCCACATGGTGGCGTGCTCTGTCAGGAGATGTGAAGACTTCCTGAAGTGGTGGGAAAGACAAGGCTGCCGGATGGTGGTGCGCACCCTAGAATCCACACAGTCCACCCTTTCAATGGCTCAAAACTTCCTGAATCCTCATGTAACATGGGTTTTTGCAGGACCCAGCGCACGGGTCATGCAAGTCTAGGGCCAGGGGTGCTCCGGTGCTCCCAAAAACATAAGGCCTTCAGGGACCTTAAGAAGCTATTCTTAAGCCCCATCAACCGCTACCAGGGGCTTATTGAGACTTATTAAGCCCCTGTTGTTGGAGGGCTTCCAAACCCTTGGGGTTTGGCCGCCCGAGGACATGACCTGCGAGCTGCACGACGAAGTGTCAGCTGGCAGTCAATTCGTGACCCACCTGACTGGTCGAATCCTGGAACGCTTGTCGTTGCGGACGACGCCCATCGATACGAAGGCCCGGGTCCCCAGGGCCCCCAAGGCCCCCAGGGCCCCAGGCGGCCATGAATTTGGGGTTGGCCATCATCCAAAATGGGTTGTTTGTCTAGACTATGGGAAAATGATGCATAATAAATCATAATAATAATGCCTTTTCTAGTGTACCAATGATGGAACACGTAGTTAGTTGTATAAACATGACACTGGATGTGGCCGTCTTGGCAGTTTCGGGTCGGCGCCAGGGCTTCGAGTCGTTGCTGCAGCTTGTGGACAACACCTGTGCAGATAGTTTTGATTTATTCTTTGCGCCTCTCAGCTCCAATGATTTGCGCAACCCAAGTAGCCATTAATGATGATTCATAGGCTATTCATAGGGAAAATATAAGGGGATGATATCCATTCGCATCCATGAAGATACATTTGTTGCGATCTCTGAGGCTTTTCAAGTACAACCCCAATTCGGCCGAGCAGCTGGCTGCGATCGAGGGGGCTGTCAAGGACTCGTCCTTTCAATGGTTGCGGCCCCGTCTTCCCCGTCAGCCTGCGCCGCAGGACGTCTCGTCAAAATTGCGCGACAAATGCAAATGATGGTCCTGAGCGGGTTTTCCAACACTAGTGGCTTTGGCATGCCTTCGCATGCTGCCAGTGAAATCACACAGCTGGCCACGGCGACTGCGCGTGCAATAAGGCTGCACATTTTACGCATGAGTCAGTTCTGAATTGATGGATCTTGGTATATTCATCTTGGTTATTCTTGGTTCAGTAAATATCCTTCTTGTCTTTTGAGCATCACCTTCAAGATGCTTGGAAAAGTTCATCCCCGCACTTGATGGAAGCTGCCTGCTCCTGGCTACTAGTGGTGTACAGTATCTCCACCTTGGCAGGCTGTACCAACAAAACGGTTCTGATTTCTTACCCTCAATCAGGTTTGTAAGCATACGATACTTGAATTTATTGAAAACGTCTTGCTTTATCCATTTTCATTTTTAGAACCTCCAACTGCGATACACAGAAAAGCACATTACCCTTCATGTCCTTGCGACGAGATGACGGATGCTCATCAACCTGCAACTCAGGACACCTTTTGCCCAATCCTGTGGTGCTGTGGCAGTGTTTATATTGGGGAGTCAGCTGTCCTCGTAAGGATGACCATCATTCACCTGGAGAAATTTGAAAGATCGTTCCAGAATTTCGCAGGATGTGGGCGAGAAGAGGCAGTGGGGTTCTTAGATAGTTGAAACGCAATGCCTGGGAGGGGGAGGAGGTTTGTTTGGCATACAGCTCCCCATTGAGGGGGTTGACCCCTCTCATGATGCGAGCCAAGGTGTGGGAAATGCCGGCGTCGGATCTCTCTGGTTGAGTCCACCATTAAGCACAGCTTGCCATGGATTGTGCTGCTGGTTTTTGGCCTCTGGTTCCAAAATGATTCATGCACACCTGCACACCTGCACACCTGCACACCTGCACACCTGCACACCTGCACACCTGCACACCTGCACACCTGCACACCTGCACACCTGCACACCTGCACACCTGCACACACACACCTGCACACACACACACACCTGCACACACACACACAAGCCCCTGAGCGTTCAAGTGGTGAGGAACCACAGGTTAGGAGTGCCCCACGTCGCTCCTGGGTTCCTTGTTCGCTGGCACGGAGACTAGCGGCTTTGCTGTGCTGCTGTGTAGCGCTGTGCCGCGCTGTTCTACGAGGACGTGCTGCTGCAGAACCTTCGATCACTTTTCGGCATCGTTCCTCAAGGACTTCTTCTCCTGACTGGTTGTTCTCAGGTTTCTGGTGGAGATACTTCTACCGGTACATGACAGGTTCCTGGTGGCTTTTGGCACTGATTTTCCTTTTGCAACTGCTGGACAAAGTGCCCTTTTGCGCAACTTTATTTCTCTTGGATTTCGTTGCTCTGACCATCTCGAGCAGCACCTGCCTAGCTTCGATCAGCAACCATCGATTTTGTGCCGAACCCTTGAACGCTCCTCGGTCCCAACTCCGAGGATTGCACTGCAAAAGATTTGCTCTGATCTTTTTAGCTTTGATTTTGACGTTGAACTTTTCTCCTATTAGTGCAATTTGGGGTGAGGGTTGTGTCACATCCATGGGTGACATGAGAGCGGAACCATGTACTCCTTCCTGGTCATCTGGTTTTTCCGCAAAACAACATGGATTGGAACCCAAACAGATTTTCGAATCACGACCGACTAGCATGCAACGAGAAGTTTGTAAGAGGAGCTACAAAAGGGCGCTCAACCGCGCCACCAAACATGGAGTCACTTGGTACAAAGGAAGGTTGTATACAGCCTCACAACTGGGAGTCAAACCTCATTCCCAACAGATGACCGTGCCTACCAAGAATGTGGAGCCATCACGATCCATTCAGAGGAAAAGGTTAACATGCTTTTCGTGGAACTGCAATGGCTTACCGCCTGCTCATTGGGACTTTTTGATGATGTGGTTGGAGAACCAATCCATTGATGTTCTCCTCCTTCAGGAAACTCATTGGCCATTTTCTCGCGATTGGCTAGCTGGGAAGTACATGATGGTCCACTCGGGTTCCAAAACCAAGCAGGCCGGGTTACTCTGTATGGTCTCCACTAGAGTTTGCAGTGCATCTGCTTTCTCGTGGTATGAACATGTTCCGGGTCGGGTCTTACAACTGAGAATCCATGGGGTAACACGATGTATTGACATTTTGAACATCTACCAATACACCTGTATACCTTCACACATGGAATCACGTATGCAGATCTGGCAACTTTTGTTTCGACTTTTATCCACATTATCCAGAAGGAATATCTTGCTGATGACTGGTGATTTCAATTGCTCTGCAGTTCAAAGATCCGATGCGGTGGGATACACTACGTTCAGCAGCTGCGGCACAAGATGTCATGGACCCAGACATCCTGATGCTCATCATTGGCATCAACTGCTTGTGCAGTATGACTTGTCGGCCCTCAATACTTGGAATGCAGGTGACAATGCTACTTATGAATTTTGTTCTCAATCTTCACGCATTGATTTCATTTGCACACGTAGGAGTCATGCTGACAATGTTGCCAAGGATGTCAAACACCTTCGTGATTTTCCTCTTGTTCCGTTATCTGGTGCTTTTCATATCCCCCTCATGACTTCTATCAGGAGAGACTGGTATCCAGCACAGCCTTCCTCACCCCCTGGATGGACGCGACAACAGAGGCTGGCATTGAGCCAACACTGCAAGAATCAAGACGAAATTTTTCACTATTTCAAACAACAGATCAACGAGACTGTTCAAGATCTTCAACACAACCACAAATCGGATCTTCATTTACTTCATCAAACCTTGAATCAATTTACCAGTTCATCTTTCCTGCCTGCCAAGACTACTTCAACAGCACAGCGAGATCTCAAGCCTTTCCAACAGTTTCAGGAACATACAAGACAATTGCGACAGCTCACTGGAGATGGACTTCCCTGTATTTTTCAGGCTTGGTTTCATCTCTGTAAACGCAGCAAAGCCAGAAAGTCCATGGCCACTGCAGCCAAGCTGAACAGGAAACTCAGACTTGACCAGGTCTTCCATGCCGCTGACCTTGCTGAGAAGGCACATGATCACTTTACTCTCTTTCAACACATTCGATCACTGGCACCCAAACAACCTATGAAACAGATCATGCTCAGATCAGAATCAGGAGAACTATTGGGACCAGATGATGCTGCTGATTGGCTTCAACAATGGTATCATGAGCTTTACTCGGCTGGGGACTCTGATTTTTCTGTTTCAGCATTTCAATGGCCGTTTTCACAACAAGAGTTCATGCAGGGCTTACAGACATTGCCCACGCACAAGGCCTTGGCGCCTGCATTTACTCCTGCACCCTTCTGGAAGCACGGTGCTGCGTCCATCTCTCAGTATCTTGACCAGATGCTACATGACTGCAGCGCTGCTTGTGAGTTTCCGGACATCTGGAGTACTGGCACTATTGCCATGCTCGTCAAGCCAGGCAAAAGTGGTCGACATCCTTCTGAACTTCGACCTATTGCCCTGTTGGAGCCTTCAGGTAAGACGGTGATGGGTTTGCTCACTAATGCCATTCAACAGCAAATCCAGTCCACTTTGAACAGGATGCCACAATTTGCTTATGCAGTTGGACGTGGAACAGAGGACGCCATCCACAGATTAACAGAACACTGTAGACTGGTACGTTCCACATTGCAAGCATTTTGTCTACCCATCCACAGCATGAAGCAAGGACGACCTCTTCCTCCGGTGGTGGGTGGCATGACACTATGTCTGGACCTGACTCGGGCATTTGACACGGTAAATCGACAACGGCTCTTTCACAGTCTCGAGAGACTAGGAATTTCAGACGATTTAATCACCCTGTTGAAATGTGTTTACAACAAAACGACGTATGACTTCACACATCGAGGATCCTACAGATCTGTGACGACAAGACGTGGCATACGACAAGGATGTCGTGCTGCACCATGCTTATGGACCGTCTTTGTCTCAGCGTTGATGATGCCATATTTCTCCTCAATTTCTTCTTTTGTGCATCACCATCTTTGCTGATGACATTTGCTCACATCAAATGTTTGACAGTGAGGAATCCTTCATTGCCCTGATCAAATCATTTGGAATCCTTCTGGACCTAATTGAATGGGCTGACCTGGACATCAATTTGGCAAAGACCACCGTGACGATGCGCATGAGGGGCAAACTGGTGGGCAAACTCCAACGTCGTTTCGTTGTCAGAACACAACAGGGAGTTTTTCTCAAAATTCCTAGGTCAGATGGCTCATACACCAAGATCCGACTTGTGCGTTCATTCAAATACTTGGGAGTGATGCTGTCATACCACAATTTTGAACAAGAAACCATGGCACTTCGTATCAAACACAGTGATCAATCTGCACATCAGCTACATCGCTGGCTCTTCACTCAGCGCCTGAGCGCACAACAGAAAGTTCGATTGTGGTACCAATGCATCTACACTTGTTTACGATATGGGATCATTGCCACCGGATTCACCGACTCAACATTGCTTCAATTCTACAGATTTAGCATTCGGCAGTTGAGACGCATTCTACGTGAACCCGTTCACTTGACCCATGAAAACAATCAGTCATTCCTGCAGAGACACAACCTCCCTGATCCGCTGTTGCGCCTGAAGAGCATCTGCCTTCAAACTGCCACGCGCTCATTGCAACGACAGTGGGTTCTTGCTGATGATGACATCTTGAATCTCACACCGTTGCCGTGCTACGACCAATTACTGCAGGTCATCGACCGAGTGCATGGGCAGGTGAACTCAGACCAATACCTTGTTGAGGTGCCCGAGACATTGACTCAAAATATTTGCCCATCTTGCAACACTGTCTTTGCTACTCTTGCGGCCTTGCGCAGGCATTGCGCAGTGGCTCATGGACAACGATCAGGTCTGATTCGTTTAACTGCTTCACAGCCACAACCAGACACCCCAACTTGTCTCAGATGTGGTACCCAATTCAGTACATGGCATCGATTGCAGTATCATATTCAATATGTTTGCTGTCATGATTTGCAGGAAATTGATCAAGTCGAGCACCGGCTCAGAGTTCAAGAACTGCTGCAGTTTGCAAGAGCTCATCAAGTTGCAGCTCTTCGACACAATTTGACAGTCCTGACTTACTTCATGCATCACTGCGCAATTTGTGGGAAATTTCTTTCAACGGTTACAGGGTTGATGCGCCACTGGAATGATCAACATCACAAGTCATACAGTGAACATTTGTCAGTTCTGCAATATTATGAAGCGCATGTTGACACTGGCAATCCATGTTGTCTTTGCTCATCTTCGTTTTCACAATATCACAGATGCATCATTTGGCGTCAGCTGGCTATGCTATTAACCGAGCTTCAGATGACAACGGAATTCTGTGATGTCACTCAAACCGTGCAGCTTACATGTGAACATTGTGGCAAGGCCTACACCACTCGTCACGGACTTGCGCAACACATCCAGAAGTTCCACAAAGCCCAACAGGTGCTGAACTCTTCTAATTGGAACAGCTTCACTGCCAAATGCCTCTTCGATCAGGCGGTGCAAACCAATCGATGCGAGGACTTGATCTCTGACCCGGACATTCTTCATTTCATCTCTTCTGAGTGCTTTGATTGCAGTATGTCCTTTCGAAGACGCCAAGATTTATCCAGGCATCTGAAACAAGGTCATCCTTCAGAATGGGCAGAGATGGAACATAGAGCTTCTGAGCTGATTGCCAGTTTGAATTGTGCACAGTGCTGTCTTTGTGTTCCTCCACAGCAACGGGCCAAACATCAATGTTTGGTCTTCCTGCAATTTGCACTGGCAAGGATACTATGGGAACGTGATCAATGCCCGGCTGCTGATGGTCTGCCACCGGACTTAGCCCTGCAACCTCAAGAGAAGATGGAACAGCTTCTATGGTTTGGCTTTGCTCACCTTCTCTACAGACAGCCTGCGTTGAAACTTGCGCTGACCTTGCATTGCATGTTCTGTGGATTTACATGCAGGAATGGTGATGCAATGGTACTTCATCTGCATCAACATCATGAAGCTTTGGTCGCTGAGAGCTCGATTCAACTACAGCTCCTTCGTTGGATTTTGTTCCAAGACTTTGGCTGTGCCTGTAATCCTACAAGAGGCTTTGGGGTACCTGACCACACGTGCCCGAGCTTGATTCAGGCAGCCATGCTTTGTGTGCAGGCGCACTGGCCCCTGACCCTTCCCTGGACTTTCAAGACCAGTGATTTGCTTTCGCACCTGGGAGATCTCATGCCATTGAAAGACTTCAGACGCATTTGCCTCTGGATGCTCACCAGGCAATTCCATCAATTGTGGAAAGACCCAGCATTGCTTCGAGTGTTGAAGAGCAACTGCACTCTTTGTGGGGAAGCTGTGACCTTACATTACATCATTGTGCACCTCCACTTGGAACATCAATTGGGCCCAAATGACTTGCATCCAATCGTTGTGCAACTTTGCAGGATCTACAGCGTGGAGCACTCAGAGGATCCTCATTGCGATCACTGTGGTGAGCTGCTGCCAACGATGGATGTTTTAGCATTTGATCCGGTGCCTGCTCTTCACATGCCCGGATGTCCATTGGTCTTGCACCTGGCAGCTTTCTTGATGCATCCGGTGCTGCACAAAGCACCGTTTGACCCGCTTGCCTGGCCGGATCCACAGGCAATTGAAGATTCCTTCCGTCGCCAAGACCAACAACGACAGCTGTTCAATGCTCGACCCTCAGATACAGCAGGACAGGAATTTGACCTCTTGGTATCATGTGGCCACCGCATGTTACAAGACAGCTTGCTTTTGGAATCCCTCAATCATCAATGCCTCATGTGTCAACGAACGTTTTACATGCCCGGTGCCTTGACATCGCACCTGAAGCAGCATGACTTCAAACAATACAACACATTATGGTGCTTGAGAAGACTCCAAATGACTTGTGGTACCTGTCCATGCTGTGGCTCAGATTTTTACACCGCTCCCGCTGGCTGCCCTGCGTTGCTGAACCTTGCTGTCCTCCTCACCAATGGGCGACGCCCTCGACAAAGCGAATTCAATCTGGGGCTCTCTTCTAACCCCTGGTCAGCTCCACAGTTTGGGGATTCATCCAGAGGAAGAAGACAAGCCATTGAAGAGGCCACGACGCAAAGAAAAGGGATCTTCGACAACTGGCTCATCGGACGATCAAACTCAGACAATGCTGAAGACGATGGCTCGGATCATCCTCAAACACGAGGACTCGATTCATGTGCTGCTTCAGGAATTCGAGTTTGTGATGTTCCTCCAACCGGGGGAAGGGAGCCTACTGCCAGTTTTGTTGGCATGTCATCAGCAGTGGCTGAAGGGAGACCGCTCTCTATCCCTGCGTCACACAATGGCCCTTCAAACCATGGAGACAGTGAAGGAACGATTGGACAAGCTGAAGGCAGCTCCGGCCAGTGCAGACTTGGTCCAGGATTGCATTCGCTTCAACCTCATCGACTCCCAACAGATGATGCCTTATCTGAGATGGGATCAAGGCACACAGAAGTTGGTGCCCAGCAAGGAGAAGCCGCTCCCGATTGGAGAAGTGAGTCGAATCATCGACACCATTGTCAAGATCCTCCAGTCGGAGCCAGAAATCACTCTCAGATTTCATGCACTTTCCAAGATTACAGCCGAGGACACCAGCAACAAATCGATCCCGTTTCTGTGGACAGTGGGCCATCGCACCCAAGGGGAACTGTGGAATCTCTTGCGAACCGTATCATTTCACAGCATTTGGCAACTTGTGAGGTTGACACTGAGGCCACAAACCCAACAAAGGACGGCACTGGCCAAACAGCTGGGACGGATGTTGTAGATGATCTACCCAAGCATATGGTGCGTATCTTGGAAAACGACACATCCACGATGTGCTTTGCCAATGCTGCAATGCAGGCCTTGACTTGGTGCACATTGCTGTGCAAAGGTCTTCACCCAGACCAGTGGGCCTATGGCTTCGAACTTTTGAGGGGATTGAGTCAATGGAATCCCATTCCGTTGAACCTGAGGGTATTCCAGCCATTTGTGTGGCTGCTATTTGGGGCCTTCACTGAGCAAGATTTGTTGTCACAACAGGACATTCTGGAATTTACAGCTTTCATTTTGGATCGCTTGGCTCCCACTTTCATTTCATGTCAATGGTGTACCAGATTCCAGCATGTTGCACAGGTGTCACATCCGTGGCTTGACAGTGAAAAAGGCGACCGATATGCACCCATCCTCCTCAGATTCATCGATCACTTGGAAATGGAATGCAGTCTTGAAACTCTCATCCATCATTGGCACGACTCCCAAGGTCTTTGTCGAGCAAGTAACCAGGCTTGTCCCTGCCTTATTGTCATGTTTGACAGGCACATTGATGGTCAAAATCGGAAATGCAATCAGAAGGTCATGTTCACCACTGACTTTATTTCATTTCCGTGCTTTTCCAATGCTGATGGGATGATCAATTTCATTCAATTCCGCATTGCGGCAGTGACATTTCATTTGGGCGAAAGCCCCCATTGCGGGCATCACAGAGCTGCACTGAAGTATCACGGCAACTGGATGGTTTATGATGACAACAGACTCCCAGACATAGTCCCCCAACTCAATGACACGATCCTGAGTAATCTCACAATGATGTGGCTGATCCAGTCCAATGACACTGCTGACAGGCCAATGGCTGGCCGGACACCTGTGGCTCCTGGCACTTCAGCTGGATCACATCGGCCTCACGAGGACATGCCTGCGGCTTCTTCAGATGCATCAGCACCAAGTGCAAAGAGACCACGCACTGATCCAGAAGGATGACATCACTCACTGTGCAGTGTTCTACCTTGCGATCTTTATCGCTGGCTCTGACGAGTATGTGCTCATTTTGACACAAATTTTGGGACGCTACTGCAATGGCATTTTGCCACGTGGCTTTGTTTTCACCCATCTTGGATGGTGTTTCATATGGCATTTTGCCACCGCCGTGCAGGTACATTGAACTGGAAGCCATTTTGGCGTGAACTCTATGGGCACTTTGCTCTTCATTGTGCTTGCTGGCGACTTGACCTCTTTGACATGGACATCTTCTTTTTCATGCACCCTGCCCCCAGGCAGGTTTATCCCTCAGGCCTGAGTATCCCTCAGGTGGACCCCAGACCCCCCCCCAAAAAAAAAAACAAAAAAAAACTGGTCCAAGAGGCTTCGCCCAATGTTTCACGATGGCCAGTATAAAAAAAAAACACTGGTCCAAGAGGCTTTGCCCAACGTTTCACGATGGCCAGTATAAAAAAAAAAACTTTTGCGCTGCGCTGATGCATCTCGAGCTGCGCTCTGCTGCTTGGAGACTGCCGTGCGCGGGCTGCGGAGCTGCTGTGGCGCTACAAAGCTGCTGCGCGCTGATGGCAGCGTGGGCTGATGCTGCATCCGATGCGGCTCGTCGCTGATGAGGACGTGAGAGGCTTGTCTATAGTACCATTTCACTTCGTATGTAGCTCCACTTACACCATTAATTCATTACCTTTCTCCAGGTTGTCCCATTCATCTCTCACAACTATCTGAGATGAACTTTTGGACATCCAGTCAGCCCTGTGGGGCGTTTCTTTGCTAGTCTGAAGACCCATTCAACGGCACGGACATAAAGCTGCCGGTATTGGGCCACGAGCAATGGCTTGTGACGGGCTCAGCCTGCTGACACGAAAAGTCATGGGGTTGCAAAAAAACACACACACACACATGCTCAGAACAATCATTGCGAATTCTGATGTGGAATGCATCTTACGTGCAAAAACACTCCAATTATACCTGACAGGAATGGGTCGATGACAAGACCTGAGAAAGTATCGAAAAGGAACCATCGCCAATTGGAAGCTGACACTTCCCTTTCAACTAAGCCAAATCGTTCCCACCCTGACAGATTGCGAAAACCGTACAGGCGTTGAAGTGACATCAAGTGAAATCTGCAAGTTTGAGTTTGGTTTGAAACTGTTTGAAAAAACGACATGCCGGTTCTTGGCTTAGCCGGTTGCCATTGACGAGAAATGGAAATTGGTGCAGGTACGCAGATTGGCGCCCCAATCTGTATCACCAGATCAAATGGGTGTCTTCGTTGGTAGCGGTCCCAAGTGATTTGCCGCTACCCCCTGCTACAAATCAAGTAGAAGTTTTACATCTATTCAGATGGTTCACACACACACACACCTACACACCTACACACCTACACGCCTACACGCCTACACACCTACACACCTACACACCTACACACCTACACACCTACACACACCCATGCACCCACCAACCCACCCACCCACCCACACACACACACAATATCAGATGGCTTGATACTAAAGATAAGCTTAGACCTAGTGATGGTTTTGATACTGATGGTACAAAAGCATACCAAAGTTATGTTTTTGTTGGTCTTTTTGAACCCCTTCATCTCTGATTCGAAGCGAAATTCGTTCAACCAAGCAGCTGCCAGGTGCAGATGTGGATTAGCTTTCTGCGAACGCCACATGGCAGCAGAAAACCACGAGCGTGGTCCCCCAGCCCCAGGGCACTAGGTTGCAAGACCCAAGGAATTCTTTCAGGCACACAGGAAACAACTTCAACCTGGCGGCAGATCCATTTCCACCATGTCCTTGCTGCAAGGTGTGCCTTTGATTGGCGCCAGATGCAAAGGGAGAAGATTGCCCGGGAGAATCCAAAGGTGGGAGCTGTGACACAGGGTGACTTTGGTTCAAAAACTGCAGCATTTCGGGCATCTGCAGGTGGTTCTCCAGGCCAATAAGCTGAAATCAAGTAAGGTTTGGGGCTTGGGAGATGCCCTGCACATGTGAAACACATCTGGCCCACTTGACTGTGGGCCTGGTTTTTTGTTGATGATGTTTTGGTACTCCACTGCACTTAGGATTGGTGCGCGCAGTGCCCCTTTATTCGTCGTTTTCCGAAAAATTGGTTCCAGTCCAGCTCTGCAAGGAATGGGAACTTCTGAGCACCAGGGTCATCATTGATCACTTGGCAGCTGTAGGATTTTTGGCCAAATCCTTTGCTGAAAGAATTTGAACAAGGTACTGTAAACATCATCCAGATGGGATCTCAGACCGACCTTGCTCGAGCCATGGAAGGCCTATAGCTGTGAATGACTACAGTAATCACTGCAGGTAGCGACCTGGGGCGAGAGGTGTTCTCAACTGATGCACTTGCTGGGGGCTTTGCTGGTGGCCAATAACCCAGTCACGGTATGGAGAGCGATTTGCTGTATGCGCTCGTCAAGCTTTACGTAGTTTTGAAACAGAATACGTTCTGATTTCCATTGTTTTGAGGTTGCTTTCAATGCTTCAGGCTGGCAAAGAACCAAGAGATTTCTGTGCAACTTCTATTGCGCGCTAGTTTCGCAGGCATCTGGAGGGCAGCAATGCAAGTTCAGATCATGTCTTGGATACGACAGCGGCACCGGCTTGTATTCATTGCCTCTTTGAGCTTTGCGTTGTTCAAGATGTTGCACTACATAGGTTTGCTGCATTTGCCAGGGCCGTTTTGGGATACTGCATTGGGTTTTTGTGTGCCCATGCATTGCTGGAGACTCAGGTTGCTTTGATTATTATAGATGCGTCCCTTGGGTTATGGCAAAGGCATTTCGTCACTGTCCACTGCTGGTCTTTATTGTTTGTATGCTTGGTAGCTTTTCAAGATCCAACAAAAATAACAAGCAGCTTCTTCTATTGCAATCAACGGCTGAATCACCAGCATCTTCTTCACAAAACAGTTTCAACTGCATACAGCCCGAAAACATTCACAGCATTTTGTGCGAAGACTCCTGCCGACCATGGGTGCTGCCATGGACTCGCAGTGCTCTGGGAAGCAGTGTTCTTTGAAACACTATGACTTTGATGAGCAGCATTACAAGGCCTGTTGCAACATTATTAAATTAAAGGACCGGATAACCCCACATGTTACCAACTTCTTTAGACTTAGACTGACCATAGAAGAGCAAGAAGGGAAGAGGAAGTATAAGAGTGATGGAGCGGTGATGGTGGGTGAGTTTGTGTGTATGTATGTATGTTCATGTACAGTGAGTGAGTGAGAGTGTGAGTGAGTGATGCCAGTGTGGTGTGTGTGAGTGAGGGATGTGAGAGTGAGTGAAGTGAGTGAAGTGAAGTGAAGTGAAGTGAAGTGAAGTGAAGTGAAGTGAAGTGAAGTGAGTGAGCGGGTGAGCGAGGGAGCGAGGGAGCGAGGGAGCGAGGGAGCGAGGGAGCGAGGGAGCGAGGGAGCGAGGGAGCGAGGGAGCGAGTGAGTGAGTGAGTGAGTGAGTGAGTGTGTGAGTGAGTGAGTGAGTGAGTGAGTGAGTGTGAGTGAGTGAGTGAGTGAGTGAGTGAGTGTGTGCGTGTGTGCGTGTGTGCGTGTGTGCGTGTGTGAGTGTGTGCGTGAGTGAGTGAGTGAGTGAGTGAGTGATGTGAGTGAGTGAGTGAGTGAGGTGGGTGGGTGAGTGAGTGAGGCGTGCATCCGACCCCTTGGCAGTGCACATTGTCCCACGCCTGCCACGCAAAAGAGGCGGAGACCCAAGGGACGCCAGGGCGTACATCCGACCCCTTGGCAGTGCACATTGTCCCACGCCTGCCACGCAAACGAGGCGGAGACCCAAGGGACGCCAGGGCGTACATCCGACCCCTTGGCAGTGCACATTGTCCCACGCCTGCCACGCAAAAGAGGCGGAGACCCAAGGGACGCCAGGGCGTACATCCGACCCCTTGGCAGTGCACATTGTCCCACGCCTGCCACGCAAAAGCGGCGGAGACCCAAGGGACGCCAGGGCGTACATCCGACCCCTTGGCAGTGCACATTGTGCCACGCCTGCCACGCAAAAGAGGCGGAGACCCAAGGGACGCCAGGGCGTACATCCGACCCCTTGGCAGTGCACATTGTCCCACGCCTGCCACGCAAAAGCGGCGGAGACCCAAGGGACGCCAGGGCGTACATCCGACCCCTTGGCAGTGCACATTGTGCCACGCCTGCCACGCAAAAGAGGCGGAGACCCAAGGGACGCCAGGGCGTACATCCGACCCCTTGGCAGTGCACATTGTGCCACGCCTGCCACGCAAACGAGGCGGAGACCCAAGGGACGCCAGGGCGTACATCCGACCCCTTGGCTGCTGCACATTGTGCCACGCCTGCCACGCAAAAGAGGCGGAGACCCAAGGGACGCCAGGGCGTACATCCGACCCCTTGGCAGTGCACATTGTCCCACGCCTGCCACGCAAAAGCGGCGGAGACCCAAGGGACGCCAGGGCGTACATCCGACCCCTTGGCAGTGCACATTGTCCCACGCCTGCCACGCAAAAGAGGCGGAGACCCAAGGGACGCCAGGGCGTACATCCGACCCCTTGGCAGTGCACATTGTGCCACGCCTGCCACGCAAAAGCGGCGGAGACCCAAGGGACGCCAGGGCGTACATCCGACCCCTTGGCAGTGCACATTGTGCCACGCCTGCCACGCAAAAGCGGCGGAGACCCAAGGGACGCCAGGGCGTACATCCGACCCCTTGGCAGTGCACACTGTCCCACGCCTGCCACGCAAAAGACGCGGAGACCCAAGGGACGCCACGCCTGCCACGCAAAAGACGCGGAGCCCGAGGGACGCCAGGGCGTACATCCGACCCCTTGGCAGTGCACACTGTCCCACGCCTGCCACGCAAAAGAGTGTGTGAGTGAGTGAGTGAGTGAGAGAGTGAGTGTGTGTGTGTGTTTGTGTGTGTGTGTGTGAGTGAGTGAGTGAGTGAGTGAGTGTGTGTGTGTTTGTTTGTGTGTGTGTTTGTTTGTGTGTGTGAGTGAGTGAGTGAGTGAGTGAGTGAGTGTGTGAGTGAGTGAGTGAGTGAGTGAGTGAGTGAATGAGTGAGTGAGTGAGTGAGGTGAGTGAGTGTGTGAGTGAGTGAGTGAGTGAGTGAGTGAGTGAGGTGAGTGAGTGAGTGAGTGAGTGTGCGTGAGTGAGTGAGTGAGTGAGAGTGAGTGAGTGTGTGAGTGAGTGAGTGAGTTGTGAGTGAGTGAGTGAGTGAGTGAGTGTGAGTGATGGAGGGAGGGAGGAGGGAGGGAGGACGGGAAGGAAGGAAGGAGGACGAGGAGGAGGAGGAGCGGATACAGAACTAAAAACAAAAACCCCACACGTCAATGTGGGGAAAAAATAAAATTCAGCAGCAGAGCGGCAGGTGGTGAATTTTGGTGAAGATTTGCACGCAGCTGTGCCTGACAGGATTGCTGTCATCTTGAAGGTGAAACTCCTGTTGAAATCAGGACCGAGCTTGGGAGGGACGTGGCGGAGATCCGCCCATCAACTGCTTAGAGGTCACCAAGCTGTCTGCTGCCAGGATAGGGCGACTGCCAGGTGGAGATGAAGGCGATCGGGGGTGAGTGTCACTGAGCATGGATGTATCGAGGCAACCACTGGTTCCTTTCTACCAACCCTTTAAACAACTTTAAACGGTGGATTTTCGCACACATGGACCCAGTCATTTGAACATTATCGCCAGTGCAGTATCTTCTTATCCCGGTGCTGCAGCTCTGGTTCAAAGCTGGCGCCACGAGTGCGTCACATGGATTGCGTCACATGGATTGCGGTAGCATCCGAGGCATCGCTGATGAGGTCGACTGTGGCATCTCTGCGTTTGCCAATCTGGAGCTAACGCCCATTGGTGGGTCCTTGAAGAGTTTCCCTGAAGACTTTGTGGTGGAAGAGCTGCCCTTGGAAGATGAAGCTGACAGCTCTGACCACGATTTGCCCTTCATCCGCTTCTGCTTGAAGAAACGTGGGGTGGACACCCTGGAGGCAGTGGATGCTTTGGCCAGTGCTTGCCACGTGCCGGCACAGAAGTTCGGCTTCGCTGGGATCAAGGATTCCTTCGCCATCACCACGCAGTACATCACAGTGCCCGCCTCTGCGGTCACCGAGGCGGCCCTCCGCGCCGCGGTGGCGTACCTGCCCTACCTGCAGCTCAGCAAGTTTGAGCGCTGCAGGCAGCGCCTGGTGCCCGGGCAGCTGCGGGGCAATCGCTTCATCCTGCGAGTGCGTGGGGTGCGGGGGAGTGCTGCGGAGGTGCAGGAGGCGATGGAGTCGTTGCAGCAGAATGGCTTCGTGAACTACGTGGGGATGCAACGCTTCGGCAAGGCAGGACTAAGGACAGAATCTGTGTCAACATCGAAGTTTGAATTTGGGAGGGGATTTTGAGTTTGAACAGCACTACTTTGAGATAGTCTCACATCTAGGTGACTTTGAACATAGAATGTCTGCGATACAGGTCATAGAATGTCATCGCTGATCTTAGTGCTTGTGAGCTACCCGCCACCTTCAATGAGCACAGCAGCATCACTGCAGGAGCGACTTGGTCGGCCTAGCCTATTTGCAACAAAATTACCCACGCTGCGTGGATTTGCTGCTTCGCCAGGTGGGGGACGGTCGCGAAGGAGCCGGCGGTGTGGGGCGGTTGCCCAAGTGGGCGGAGGTCTACCGCTGCACCCACAGCGCCGAGGCAGCACTGCGGCGGCTGCCTGAAGGTAGCTGCTGGGCGGAACGGCGGCTGCTGCGGGCGCTGGCGAAGCGGCAGGAGGTGGATGGAGGGACAGCAGCAACGGCAGCCATGACAATGGCAGGCAGGTGGCAGGAGAAGACCTTGAAGGGAGGCACTTGGAAGGAAGTGACCAAAGAGGCATTTCTGGGGTTGCCGCGGACCATTCGCGCGCTGTATGCCCACAGCTATGTGGATCGCTTGTGGAATCTGGCGGCCACTGAGCGGATGGCCTTGGGGTTGCCGTTGGCGCCAGGAGATTTGGTTTATGATGCGGAGAAGGATGGAAGCTTCAGGCTGCTGGGTAAGGATGAGGCAGCTCAGGACATTTGTAGGCTGCTGCTGCCGCGGCCTGGCTCAGGCATGCAGCTGCCGGCGAATAGCGTTGGCAGCTTCATGCGAAGCTATTTGGAATATGATGGGCTCAATGCCGACGAATTGAATTTGGAAGGGCCTGGAAGTGAGTCAGGAAAATCCTGGCAGCTGACTGGCTGCATGAGACCAGTCCTGGTGCGTCCCAGGGATCTAGTTTGGCATTTGCAGGAAGGCCACTCTGAACGCCCTGTGGCCCCAGTGGATGAGCCAGCCAAGGTGACTAGGGCCACGAACCACTTCAGCCGCGCCAGAGCAAAGAAGGAGATCTCAGCCAGAACTTTGGTGCTGGATTTCCACCTCGGCCCTGGGCAATATGCCACTATGGCCATGCGTGAGGTGATGCGGCCCCGCACCATCCGAGCACCCCGCCACATCGTTTTCAGTGACAGCGAGGCCGAAAGTCCGTGCAGGGAGAGGCCCGCGAAACGCGAGAAAAGAGGGCGAGGTAGCAGCCTTAAGTGGCCACAATTGGTTCTGGATTCGAATATATCGTGAATATTTTTATGTTTTCATCCTTGTTGGGACCCTGGGGTAATGAACCCAATTGCTTGGCAGGCTTTGCGCGGAGAAGTCCTGTAAGAAATACCGGCAGCGGCACTGTGGCCTGGCATCGCATTGTTGAATTGGAGGGTCTGACAATGTTTGGCATTTGATCATAACCAAAAGTTTTGAGACCCACCTGGAGTCAATCCAAGTTCCTCTAATCTGTCATTCTCTTGTCAGCTTCGTGCTACCTCTTTGCCCTGATGTCGTTCCTAGCCTGCGGAGGTCGTGCCAGAAGCAGAGAAGCCACCCATGCCTCGAGGTTGGTCAGTTCCCCAAAAATGGAGAGTCAGCCTGGCAAAACAGCGTCATCAAGGGTTATTCAATCGCATTTGGGTTGGAGTGTAGCAGAACCTATGAGTGGTTTTACCTGCCATAGCTGTATCAGTTCGCTTCAGCATGCTTCAGCGTCATATCCTGGGCAGGTGTGAGCAGCAGCCGATTGCCTCCGCCAGTGGTGAGTGACCCTCCACATTCGCCGAGAGATTCGGATGGCTTCCATGGAGACACTTAGGCTGCAACGAGTGCGGACTGGTGCGACGTTGAATGGATATATGGCAAAAACATGCAAAAACCAGCTGTGAACCAAATGGTTTGCACCAGCTGGGAACACTAAATGGAGCCCAATGGTTTCCCTGCAGGCGACGTGCCTGACTTGATACAAAATTCGTCGCAGAGGGTTCACAGTTCTGTCGGAGACTTTCGGACTGGGGAAACAACTGTGGCAACTTTTTAAAATCGCCATCGGTTGCCATGTGATGCCATGTGTGGGTTGCTATTTTGGTGGGAAAATTGATTTTCTAAACTTACTGTAAGCCTTTGGAACTGGGGTTGCTCCATTGTAAGGCACCAAACCCAGCTGCCAAGGATGACTTTCTTGTGCCGCCTGACTCCTTGAATGGTCATCCAGGTGTGGACGGTGTGAAGGGGGGGGGCATAAGGTGATTAAGCAACACATATTAGGGTTGAACGGTTGAACCATCAGAAATTGGGGATTTAACATGATTTGACATGATTTCAGGTATTGATTGTATTGAACCCCCGAACCAACCATCCTCAATTTATAAACCGCCAACTAGGGATTTATTTATAGATTTATTATGATTTATTTTTTGCAGTGGGTTTTGCTACGGCAGGAACATCTCCCAGGTCATATTCCATTTCCATCTCTTTGGCAGGACTCCAGAACCCTGCAGCCCTTCGAGTTCTCCAATCAATGACTGCAGGGCACGAGAGAGCCCACTTTCCGGCGGCTTGGTTGAGGTTACTGGGTGAATGTAAACCGCCATCCCAACATGAAAACCAGTCTAATCAGTTCAATCCACAGGCTTGGGCTGCGGCCAATTTTATGGAAAACAAGCAAGCTGGGCTGTGTTTCAACATGACTTGAGTCTTCCAGACCCCACCTTTTGCACTGCGGCTCTTGGGCTGAGGAGATCGCGCGGGCGCGGATGCCAGGCCCGTGGGGTGTTGCTTGTGCAATCAAGTCCACACATGGGCCCCGCAAGATATATAAAGGGATCCAATGGATCCGTAATGATCCAATACTAAGATGCTAACCCGGGTTTTTGGAGTATTTCATGGATCGTGGAGTTCACTCCTTCCATCGGGTTTCTGCATGTTGCTGATTGCTAAGGCCCGCATGGAGAAGTGGAGCACTTGTGCAAGGTTCCCATGTGACCCCAAAGAGGGTGATGTGAAGCCAGAGGAAGTTACAAAAGCTAGTTTTAGCAAGCTCGATGCTGCAGGATTTGAGGAAAAATCAGGACCCGTGCACCAGCACCTGCTTAGATCCTCGCAAACATCACACAATCACTTCCTATCAGACCTATCATTCATTGAAAGTGTGAGGGTTTGATGCCTTTTGACCCTCCAAACTCCAGGGAAAATTTGCCGTTCCAAACGCCAAAAAGCTGGGGAAATGGTTTGGATTTGACCGATTTTATTTGGGGGTTCCTTCAAATCGGGGGATCCCCAAGGTCAATGGGTTTCAATACTAAAAGGAGGGCTAATTATTTTAGGATTTTTTTTTTGATCAGGTTTAGGAATTATTTTGGGATTCCTGCTTCTCTGCTTTTCCTGCTTTTCCTGCTTCTCTGCTTTTCTGCTTTTTTGCTTTTCTGCTTCTCCTGCTTCTCTGCTTCTCTGCTTTTCTGCTTTTCCTGCTTCTTTGCCTTTCTGCTGCTTCTCTGCTTTTCTGCTTTTTTGCTTTTCTGTTTTTCCTGTTTCTTTGCTTCTCTGCTTTTCCTGCTTTTCCTGCTTCTCTGCTTTTCTGCTTTTCCTGCTTCTTTGCCTTTCTGCTGTTTTGCTTTTGTGCGTTTCCTGTTTCTTTGCTTCTCTGCTTTTTTGCTTCTCTGCTTTTTTTTTGCTTTGCCTGCTTTAAATACTTGATTTTCATGTAAGATGCATTTTGCACAGTATTTACATCCCTGAGTATCACATGACCAACCTTCTCTTGAAAACTAGCAACGTAACATGTGAGAAGAGGTGCTTGCATTCTGCTTTGGGGGGAGGCGCTGCGCCCTCCCCCCAATCCCCCCCTCCCGCTTTTTTTTATTTAAACTTAAACCCAAGTTACATTAGTTGGTTTTTGCGAACTAACCTTCTCTGGAAAGCTGACAGGATTACATGGGATAGATAGATAGATAGATAAATAGATAGATAGATAGATAGATAGCTTGGTAGATAGATAGCTAGATCGATAGATAGCCAGCTAGATAGATAGATAGATAGATAGCTGGAGAGATAGATAGCTAGATACCTCGATAGATAGATGGCTAGATAGATAGATGGCTAGATAGATAGCTAGATAGATAGATAGCTAGCTAGATAGATAAAGAGGTAGCTAGATAGATAGTTAGATAGATAGCTAGCTAGCTAGATAGATAAAGAGGTAGCTAGATAGAAAGCTAGATAGCTAGATAGCTAGATAGATAGATAGATAGATAGCTCGATAGCTAGATAGCTGGATAGACAGCTGGATGGCTAGATAGATAGATAGATAGATAGCTAGACAGATAGCAAGCTAGATAGCTAGATAGCTAGATAGATAGTGAGCTAGATAGGTAGATAGGTAGATAGATAGCTAGCAAGATAGCTAGCTAGATAGGTAGATAGATAGCTAGATAGATAGATAGCTTGCTAGATAGATAGCTAGCTTGCTAGATAAATAGCTAGCTAGATAGCTAGATAGCTAGCTAGCTGGATAGATAGCTAGCGCCCTCCCTCAATCCCCCCACCCGTTTTTTATCTAATCCCAAGCTTGCGCATCTGTAAATATTTGGGTGAACATGCTCACATGTAGAACATCCCATGCAAAATGGAAGGTGAACATGCCAAAATGTGGCAAATACCATACAAAATGGAAGGTGAACATGCCCACATGTAGGAAATCCCATGCAAAATGGAAGGTGAACATGCCAAAATGTGGCAAATACCATACAAAATGGAAGGTGAACATGCCCACATGTAGTAAATCCCATGCAAAATGGAAGGTGAACATGCCCAAATGTGGCAAATACCATGCAAAATGACAAATTCAAGTTCCAAACCGTTGCAGACACTAGGCAAATGGTACCAGCCAAGAAATCCCAAAAAAATTCCCAAACCTGCTCAAAAAAAAAATCCTAAAACTATTTCACACCCTTCTAAAATGGTCAAATGTTGGGCAATTTTTGGCAATTTGGAGGTACCCCCATGACTTCGAAAACCTCGGCCTGGGAGCTGAGGCCACGTTGCTGCGGAACTCCTCCCTCCTCCTGCTGCTTCTGCATCTTTTCCTGGGCACCTTGGGAGAAACCGCAATATGGGGCCCTGGGTGAGGTCAAGGGATTCAGATGTTGAAAGCACTACTGTATAATTATGTACAATTATTTGCACGCACACACACACGTATATATATATACTTATATGTATAATTTGTATATGTCTTCATGGATTGAGATGGTTTGTGAAAGCATTTTTCCATGATTTTCATAATCCATTCAGGAAGCAATAGTCCCGTTACCATCACTTTTTCAGGTCCCCTAGGCACCCCTTGGATTGTCCCTGCGACCGAGGATGTTCTGTCCATGCCACAGTGGTGTTTGGAAGCGGAATGGGAGCAAGCGAAGGACGGAAGGCAGTTTCGCCAGTCGAAGTCAACTGGTCTTAGCGGACAGCGGATCCCAGGAGCAGTTGATCTATGCCATCACCGGTGGCAAGAGAAACTGCCTGACGCGAAAATTGTACGATGGTCCCAGGACGCTTTGTCGCTGTGTGTCATTTGCACATTGACATGGACTGATCACAGCTGATCTAGCTGTGTAGCTATTGGTAGCTAGCAGCTATACATTTGCACATGCAATCATACTAATTAATCATGTGAAGATAAAGGAGAGATAGCTTCCAGAATATCATAGGCAGGTCGATATGGCAGATGGCTCTTCGTGCCTCCAAGATACTCCAAGCCTCAGGAGTCTTCCATCGATTCTCCAAACAGTCGTGGCCAAGTCGTAGCCTTCAGATGGTGAGAATCTCCCCACTTCAATCCTGTTGTGAAGGGATGCAGAAATGGGTTGAAGGGATACGCTTGGCGAGCAGTGAGGTTGCAAGAAGGCTCACAAGGGGGCTTCAAGTGCTCTTGATGAATCCTTGAGAAGCAGAAGTGAAGGTGTGGCTTGGTGCACCCACCAACCCAATGCCACAAACCATCGCAAATTTTGGGTTGTTGACATTGGGCATACCGTATCCCCCTTATTGGGGATGATCATTCGCCACCCTGCCAGGCCCAAGGAGAGGTCTTTGCACCGAGTTTGAAGGCGGGCTGGGCCCCAGGATGGATGAAAGAATTAGAGGGGTCGGTCTGTTAATGGCTTGAACCAACTTATTGACTTTAGACTTTGGCGTGGAATGCGGCCTTTGGCATGTTCGCATAGTGGATTCCAATTCTAGAGCTCAACCTTGATAATCCACCGCAGCATGAACGCTTAGGCTCGTATAGGCTTGAGGAAAACATGTTAATATAGTCTGACATCAAACATCCAGATGTGAAGTGCTTTGGCTTAGCATCACCCGGTCACTGTGGTCACCGTTGCCGGTGATCGCTTTATACCATGTGGGGAGTCGGAATCAGAGTTCAGTTATCAGAACGTTCCATGATGATCCATGATGGATATTTGATCCTCTGGATCTCCAGGTGCTCACAGAGAGGAGGCCTTGGAGCGACAGCAGGAGATGTGTTGCGGAAGGTAGCTAGCAGCAGCGAGCAGAATGACGCAGCGGGAAAAGGAGCCGAGAGATGAGGGTGCCCTGGAACCCCAAGCATAGTCCAGCAACTTCCAAACATCTCAACGAAGAGAATCTTCAGAAACCATGTGGCATGTGCTTGTGGTTGCGTTGGTAGGGTTGATGTTCCAGATTTTGAGCTTTGGAGGAAAGAAGTTAAGCACTGGCAGAGCACGTTTTGCCACAGTCGGAATCAGATCCAATGTTGTGTTCGCGCAGCTTTTACCAGGCGCGACAACGCACAACTCACAACAAGAAGTTGGAAGACAACTGGATTAAGAACTCTTCACTGCGATCCCAGCGATGGCCAACTACCCAAATTGACCTGGTTTCTTAAGATCCTTAAGGTCCTCAAATGTCCTCAGATCTAGCCCCTCCAAGCCATGACCAGCCATGAGGAGTCTAAACTTTGAGAGTCCCAGATGTCCCAGGTATTCATAACTTTGTTGCAGTTCTGCCTGGCTCCATGGTATGGCATCCCGAGCCCAAGTCCCTGTGTTGGGCCTGGTGCCAGCCTGAAACCCACGGCAGCACACCACGGCCTCGGGATGCAGCTGCCTTGCCGCCCAACCCAGGGGCCCACGAGTATCGAAATGCGAAGAGCCTTTGGGGCCACAAGGCATTTCGCTTGGTGCCGGTGATCTATGTGGGACCCGGTGTGGGTGAGATGGTCCTGGTGCAACTTGAGGGGAGCAAGGTGCAAATCCGCACCAAACCAGGACTTCTGCTGGAATGGTATGAAGGGCTCCTAGTCCTGGATGCCCTCATGCGCAGCTCGGAGCAATGTCAGTGGCTGGAAAGTCTCGCAGGACGCTTCCAGAAGGAAAGGACACAGAGGAAGAATTTGAGTGCCAGCCTGTACGTGAGCAAAAAGCTGCTAACTATTGCGGTAACAGGGCCACAATTTGTGACCAGAGAGGCCCGGTGTGTGGTACAACAACGGTGTATAACGTGCGTCATCTCAAATCTCCTACCCGAAAAGTCATTCAGAGGGTTGAAATCATATTCAGTGAGCATACTTTCCAGATAGGAATGGTTTTGCAGCTATCTATTCCCACAAGTGCCCTGAAATAAACAGAGTGACTGGATCCCAGGGTTCCTGGGAGGTATCGAGGGCGAACTGAGGATGAAGTTGATACCCTCTGGAAAAACTCACATAACTATGGAAAATCACAATTTTTAATGGGAAAATCAACTATAAATGGCCATTTTCAATAGCTACGTTAAATTACCAGAGGGTAGTGGTTGTCTTCGGGGCTCATCGTTGTCTTCGCCCCAGGGTACCGTCTGTGCTCACCGTCGGAGCCTCCGGCAAGATGCGTGCACCACAAACGAATGCCTCCAAGAGCCAGGTTGGTACAAGGTGCAGCTGGGAATCTAAGAGGGCTGGCTAGAAAGTTTCCCTACAGTATGATCCAAGTTGATCCATTTGTAGGTGGTCCGTTTGCAGATAATGAATCATGAATGTATATATATATATACATAAATATACAAACAAATAAATCAATCAATAAATATATAGTGACGGACCACCACTTAGCTCCCAAATTTGGCAGGAAATTTCAAAGTGTGTGTTTAGGCAAGGACACTTAGAACATCCCAAAAAGATCACACTTAGAACATCAGTTGTGCACATGTTCTAAGTGTCTGTCTACTCTACTAAAAGTAATGGAGAATGCAATGTTGCAATACCGTCCACAGCAGGTGAGTATAGGTGATGTGCGGAGAACAGAATGTGTGAGACAAGGCATGTTTTCAAAAAGATGATTCCAGTGGATTCCAGTGATGTATATGCAGGTGGGTGTCTCTTTTAATTTCCAATGAATTTTCCTCAATCGGACAACCACTTAGAACATCAGACCACTTTTTCCCCCAGTGAACATGCATGGGTTGATGTTCTATGTGTTGGATTCTTGATTTTGATGTTCCAAGTGATCCGCTTTGAACATCCCAATCTTGATTTTCCTGATGTTCTAAGTATGTGTTTTTTCATTTGGAAAACGTTTGATGTTCTAAGTGGTTGTCGGTAACTATGTGTATATATACATATTATGTATACTATAATCCATTGAAGCTGGGCATTGTCAGTTGCCAATTGTCAGTTGCCATGTTTGTTGACTGGAGGTTGCCGCTGCCCCACCAGCTCCTTGTATCCCATGGCAGGTGGAGCGTATTTTGGATTACATGCCACCGTGGGAGTCCTTTGTGAATCCCAAATTTGGGCTTTATCAGGACTGCCGACATTTTTTCCAAGCTAAAAAACTGCAGCTGTTTGATGGATGGGCCTGTGTCTACTGTGGGGGGATGAACATTACTTCCAGCTAGATGTTCAAGAACATCCATCTCTGCTTTTTTTTTAAAAGGCAGCTAGCACATATTTGGCTATAGCTCTCACCAAATAGATAGATATATAGGTAGGTAGGTAGGGTCGGCCCTGGGGGGTAGGCAGGTAAAATCCTACTAAAGTAGTCATAAATTGAACCTTTTCTGTCTCTTTAGGGGTTGCTAAGTTACTAAGATCCAGCACTTCACCCTGATCCATGGCCACAACTGGAGGAGTTTTACCTGATCCTCTGGAAGCCTCCGCACCTCATGGAAAGCTACTCCCACCTCCCGGAGGGATGTGAGGAGCATCCACATGCCACCTGGGAGCCTGATGAGTGTCTTCCAGATGAGTTTGACGTGCCTTGGTTGAGTGGTTGCGGGGGTTATACTCCCCAGTACATCGGGGTGATGGTCATAGTCGATTTTTGAGAGGAATCCCCACCCAAATGTTTTACTTGTAGTCGTAATGTTTTTTTCTCCCAGAGGATTTTGACACTGCTCAAGTAGTAGCCGGATAATAACAGATATCAATAGAACATGAATGTATAGTAACTCGGCATGTGCCTAGTGGGTCCAAAAACCATGGTTTATGAAGGACTTGCGAAAAGAAGGGATAGTGATGTTTCTTCTTGCAGAATAGGGAATCTCAAGTGAACACATGAAAATAAAGAAGCGACCAAGATGGATGTTTGAGGGCCCAGGAGGTAAGAACATTCAATGTTCCAAATGTCTCTTCAAATGGTGCCAGCTTGAGTATATTTATGAACACATGTTGATAGAGAGTGACTCACCCCTCACCCCATTTTTCACCATGAGACGGTCAATCATTTTTGGGCCGTTTGATCTACCATGAGTGGATCTACCCCGTAGATTTCCCCCTTGCCAGATTCAATTTCCAGAGAGGCTACCCCCAGTCTTTCTTCATCTCCTTGCGAAAACGCCGAGTTTCAAGGTTGAGCGCGCTGAAGTCAAGAAAAAGTGGATCGAAACTCACCGAGAACGAGAGAATGCCACGGCAGAGAGGAGGGAGGTCGACACCTTCAAGATATCGATTCCTGAGAGAAGACCAGCCAGGGTGACATGGCTATCATGGCTCGTGAGAGCGGCTCGTGTCAGTCGATTCCTCCTCAAAACTAACTCAGAACCTGCAAAATGGGGGTCCGACGGGTGATTTTTCAATTGGACATAGCAACTTGCCAGGTTTCAGCACTTGTCAGTATGATCCCTGTTGGGGGGGATATTCTCCACGTCATGTCCCCAATGCTGCCTGGTTGTATCAATCTCCATCCCTGCTGCTTCTCTCTCCTCTAGTTTCGTGCAAGAAATGCAAAAAGCAAACGCAGGGATCCAAGCAAACCCCCAAAGCTGACCCACCCAAAATATTTGGTTTGGGTTGATTCAGGGCAACCACCAACAGCCACAAAATATTGGCTTATTAGCATTCATGGAGCCATTTATGCATAGGATCCCACATTAGGCTCCCATTAGAATCCCATTAAGACACGATTCTTGGCTGGTTAGATCATCATTTCTTTAAAGCAAATCACGATACAGAATATACCATTACATCCCCATAAGCTCGTATATATATAATATACATACCCACTAGCGTTGGTTATATCCCTACTATATCCTCATTAGGGTTGGTTATACCTACATATTATCCGCATAAACTGGTCGGTTATGTTCCCATCCTATCTCAGTTATAGATGATTTTCCTTATTATACCAATTATATATTAAGAGTATTTAACATCATGAATCCCTTATTTTTGATGCTTATTATACCGTTATTACCCCCTGTTGTTGGATCCAATGCTTCAAGCATCGCACCATGCATCCGTTACGGCTCCGTAAGGAGCCTCCCAAGCGGCCAGTGCAAGAAGTGGCACCCATCGCTACCCGACTTCCACCCGAGAAGATGGCGAAGGCGATGGACATGACGTGGGAGTCACCCTGCCATAAACCTACCATGTTGGGGATGGTAATTATACCACCTGTAAAAATGGTGATGACTGGGGGATGGTTCAATTATTGGGTGTGCCACATTACCCAAGCGTTTAGAGAGTTTTCACAGATTGAAATGGAGATGGATCTGGGTTTGTCTGAAAATTTAGCGGAACATCTCCAAATCTTGGATATGGCTATTCTTGGGTTCCATATTCAATGTAGATGTAGACATTCTTCATGACATACAGGGAGAACATACTGTAGATAGCAGCCCCCAAGTTAAGATGCAGAAAAGTAGAATATCCAATTCTAAGAGCAAGAAAATCGGTTCTATTTTTTTTGGCGATTCCCACACGGAATATACAGAATGCAGGTGTCACCTTTTGTGGCCACACTGGGGGTGCCTGTCCGTGAGGTGTACCACCCCGACCTCAGTGGTCGTATTCGTCACGGGCTGCGGGATGATATTCGGCCCATCCTCCAAGGGGGAGAAGAAGTTCAGATCAAGCAAGGATGGCCCAAGAGCGAAAGCAACCTGGTGAAGACAGCTATGTGAGAGCACGGTGTGTGTGAGATATGATATGATATTATATATATATGAATATGAACATTAATATGAATATGAATATATACACATATACAGATACATATTAATATATTTATAAATATAAATAAATAAACCAATAAATAAATAAATGAAAAAACAATATATATATATATAGGACCAGGACCCTCACACAACACGAGTTCGTGGTCAAATGTGTCAATTTCGCTGTGGAATTTCAAGACACGCTCTGTCATACTCACACCATTTTTTCGAGTTCAGAGATTCACAAAGCAACTCCGACAACCCTTCAACGTTTCTTTTACAAAAGGTTATGGCTTTTCATTTGGCTGGTGTAACATGTGCAACTTGGGAGCTGTGAGGTGACTACCCACTTTCGTACCTCCCGGCAGATCCTCCTGGCTGTTGCAAGCAGCAATGTCGCTGCATGGAGGATTGGCACATTGAGGATGCCAGTTCCTTGGGCACTTGAGCCAGCTGGGCCAGGGCCATGGTGGGAAGGTCTGCGCATTTTTTCAGATGGCTGTGGGCTGGTGAACCCCAAAATAGCGATTTATGGATGTCCATCCCCGCAAGATCATATAAGACAAGAGGTGTCGATTTTTTGTCAGATGATTGTTGTTGGTCAGTTTCATGGGCGGACAAGTTCCCAGATTTCCAAACTTTGACGAAACCGGTTGATAAACAGTGGCACCACGCTCGCTCGTTTTTGTTCCTGAACTCGTTTCATGAGGCAAGTGCTGGCTGGACAACCAACACATGAGAAATCAAAGCGCCCAAAACGCAGTGGATGCTTTCAAGAGCCAGTTGAACCTCCTGCGAGTTCGGGGGCAGGCGACATCGGCCAAGTGGGGCATGGGAGGTTGCCGGTGGTATTTTCCCACAAGGGGATGATCATCCCCCTTTTGATGGGGATTCCTATTTTCGGTGATTGGGGAATCCCATGGTGCGATCATATTTTTTCCAATCTTAGATTCCCACGATGGGTCAGGCCCGGATTTTGGTTGGTGAAAACATGTTAAGCCGCCATGACCAGTGGCCCCATATTTTTTTCCCATGCGGGTTTGTCTGAAAATAGGGTACCATAAAAAACCCATGTCTAAAGTGGGCCTGTCTGAAAATGAGGCATACCCCCAAAGAGTTATTTCAAAAAGTAATGCATGATGAGAATCTCTATGAGGCTACCCTATTTTCAGGCAAAGCCAAGTGGCCACAGCTGGGGGGTATCCCCTTTTTTTAAATAAAACCATGTAAGTTGACCCTGGCATGGCAGGTCTCTGGCCAGTGGTACATTGAGCCCGTCTCGGTGCTCCCCACGGAGAAGCTCCAGCAACTCCAACACTCCCGACGGATGGCTCTGCAGGCAGAAGCTAAATGATAGAGAAAGAAATAGATTAGATGATTAGATTGGATATCTTATACACATTGGATTAGATTGGATTGGATTATATATATATAGATTATATAGATGGATTGAATTACTTAGATAGATAGACCGACAGATAGACAGACAGATAGATATGCAAGGAGGATACAAAAGATTAGAAAACTGTGTGCACGTATACATGTGTCTACCTGTGCATTCTATATGTATAGAAATAAATAAACGAATAAATAAATGAATAAATAAATAAATAAACAAATAAATAAATGTAAGCACGCACACACACACAGAGATGTATAATGATATATATATATATAGAGAGATCATTGATATGATACAATTTCCTTGTGGTGCGCACCAGCATAACCAACCCCCGCAGAGCCTTTTCCGGAAGGTGTTTTTCCACGGCCGCCCATGAGGTGGCGAATCTTGTACATAAAGCCATGGGCGCAGTGGTGATTCCTTTGCCACTGCAGGCCATTACCGAGGAAGGCTGGATCTGTGGTCAGATTGGGGCACTGGGGGGACCTGGGGGACTGGGGGTCCCAGCTGAGCTCTAACCCCTGAGGTGGAGGGGATATCCTGAGAGACATTACCATCCTGCAAGATGATGAGCAGCAGGCGCAGGATGGTGGTCCATTCGAACCTGCCGCCTTCGAAAAGGTGGAGGGTCCTGATTGGAACCTTGGCTGCAGAAATCTTTTCGGGTGACTTCATGGGATTTAACCAACCCCTCCAGTTAGGTGACTCCCCCAATATATATTAGGATATAATAGTATGATGATGTTCTCTTCCAGTTTTTGTTTTAAATCATAAAATTAAAGCACTGAACAATTTGGATACTCACTTGGGGTTCAATTTCCACTTGGAACCAGTGACCAATGCCACAATGCCTTGGAGACCCGAGATGACCTGAGTCAACTGAGGCTTGTGGTGAGCGCCACTGGGCATATCGGCACAATCGCAAAGGACACTCCACGTGCATTCAAGGCTGGCTCGAACGACCGGATATTTTGGAGAACTGTGGGAAATTGAAAGTGAAGTCTAGAGGCCTAGGCCTAAGACTGGAAGATTCAAGGTTTAATGTGGTTTAAAATAGATAGAGAGAGAGAGAGAGGGAGATGGAGAGTAGCCAGATAATGAGATGCCATAAGAGCAAGATGGGTTCTGCTTGGGTGAACCCCCTCATTGATGATATTTGGGATGGTTTATGGCATCGGGGTCTACAACATTCGCTGAGAATCTTGGCGAGGCTGAGACCTTCACACTACAGGTGGATTTCATTGGAGCGGATCCCTCCCACAGACCCAGCCTTCACCTTCAAATTGGACCCGAGAAGCCGGCGTTGCCCGAAAGTTTGGCAGTGCCCCGGCGCTAGATGGATGGTTCACATGGCTTCGGCTCGGACTTACCACCGCCATGGACTTGTTTGGGATGGGAACATGGTGAAAAACTTGATAAACCATGGGAAAACTGAGGTTTCCCAGTTTTGAGGCAGGCCCATTTTTCAGGGACCCTGGGATGTGCCAACTTCTCAGCCCAGCTAAAATTGTGCCATTTGAGGCATGGACCGGACAAATCATGGATAAGGTGCGATCCACTCCAACTCTATCCTTTGCGCTGGAAACCTTGATCAAGAAGGAGCGGACCAAAGGGGGGGCCCTTAAGAATGAAGGCCGCGATGTTGTGATGCAGCCAGAATTTCTTGAGAAATGGCTGTCATAGTCCATACAGTAGATTACTCAGTAGATGTCCAGTTATCTATTTGCCTGTCTGTCTGCCTGCATGTCTATACATGCATGCATTGCATTAGATTAGATTAGTTAGATTAGATTCGATTATACTACACTACATTACGTTTTGTTACATTACACTACACTACATTACATTACATATGCACACACACATATATACTGTATATTATTCATGTTCAGACCATCTGGACTTGAACACCTGGAACGGCAGTTGGGTGATGGTACCAAGGTAGGACAATGTCAGCCATGTTCAGGTTTGCTCCGTGTCAGTGATTCATGGCAGGCTTTACAAGATTGTCAACTTTCAGGAATCATCCCCCACACAGAAGTCATTTAGTTTCACTAACTATTTCGAAGGGGTTTCCCTTTTCTCCCTGTTTCCGCCTATTTTGGAACCTCTCCAAAAAACGTTTGCGCCACCTTTTTGGACGCGGGGCTAGGTGTATGACACCGAAAGTCGGGGCCTGCGGAAGAAGGTCACGATGGCCATGTGGTTGAAGACCATGAAACAGGTGCTTTGTCGCGGCTCTAAGCCGCGGCGAAGCTGGTTGCCTTTCTGGCCGAAAAGCACCATATGTGACGCCATGAAGCCGGGTCATTTCAGTTGGAGCCAAGAATGTCCAAAACGCCAACATCATTTGACGCCAACAACTTGGGAAACCTGAGAAAACGAGAAAAACCTTACCAAGTGATACCCTGACAGGGGTACAACTACCTTGTGGAAATCCATCATGGCCTGGGAAATCTGCAACTTCAACATGAAAATCATCTGCCAAAGATTGATTCTTGTGGATTTTTGAGGTTTGTCAGATTGCCGCTGTGGTTAGGGCACCATTTGCGGAATAATGGTACCTTCCCTTGCAGGTGTACATCATCGCCCGCGCCGCCGCCAACAGTTCGGCAGTTCGTCCGGGCTTATCCTGAAAAAAAGTGGTCCTGCGCAGCACCCTCATAGGATGTCTCTGTTCCCAGAATTGTTTGAAGGGGACAAATTGGAGGAACACTGTATGCATTTGGTGGTTGGATCCATGTTCAAACTTGCCCGTCAATCATTGACGTGAAAAAGATGGTGCACTTGAAGTTGCCAGCAGCCCAAGTTGGCTCAGCTCGGGGTGAATGAATCCTGCCATGTTGGCCCGGGCAGGCACTAGAAAATTTTGAGTCTTTCTCCCAGATGGGCCCACCCCTATGACCTCGGTTCTGAGCAGGTCAGTCCCATTGGTCAGGTCCTCAATGGGTATTGTGCCGGTTTCCCGAATTGGTTTAGTCAGTGGGACGATTTCAGGTCGAAACTAGTTGAATCCCATATAGTGGGAGGTAAAAACAAGATGGTTTCCGGTGAAGATTTTCTGAAACCAATCCATTTACAGTTGGTGTGCAGACATGACAGTGAAAGATATTTCATGTGCAGGTGATGAATGACTGTATTGATGTCGATGTACCATGTTGAACGTTGTTGGACTGCAGGAAGCTACAGGAAGTGTTTCAGAGTTTCAGATGCGTTGCAGCAGTTGAGCACTGAACCACGTGTCCTGCCGTCCTTTTGGCTTCAAAACAATGCAAAGGGCGTGGTCGCGAAGGTTGAAGTGGGTTTGGGTGCAATTGGGGTATACGCTTCATAAAATGGCCATTTGACTATTTTGAATTTGGACAGTGATGACAAGACCATTGGATTTTTGGGTACCCTACATTTGTCAAGCCAAGCCGCCTCTTTTCAGCTCGGCATGGCCAAGAGGCCTCCTGCTGATCGGGTTTGTCGATCCTGCGGAAGCTGCAACTGTTGTGTCATGACGTGGGTGTGTTCAAGAGTGGATACCCCCAAACCATTGGTGCCACTGATCACACTGAAGCCACTGAAGACTTGCTGTTTATCTAGTTTTGCAGTCCGCTCACGACAGCATACCTCACTGTACGCTATGTTAGAACTTGGCTCGAACCCACTCTCTCAATATCTCTGGGTGCCGGGCCGAGTTTTGCTATGAAAGATCAAAGGTTCCTTGGTAGCAGCCAGCAGCTAGAGCTTGTTTTGGCCATGCAGACTTCTTAGCTGCTTGAACAATATGTTTACACCTCACCGATACGCATGCAGAGGTAGATGGATAAATTGATAGATGTGTAGATGAATAGATGAACAAGGACAAATATATCGATGGATATGAATAGATATGAATAGAGATCAATCCATTTTGTAATCATAGGTATATCATAGGTATATCCCCAAGAACAGTTATTTTAGTTACATCGTACATTTAAAAAACTGTTACCTATTAAAATATGGATTTACCTATTCATCTACCGGTTAAGAGTGGTTTAGTTATCCTATAAGGCTTAGCCACTAAGCTGAGGCAACGAGCTTTGGAGGCTTGGAAACCAATGGGATTCTTGCAGTTTTATTCCCAATTTTTTGGCATCATCAGGTCAATTAAGAAGTAAATTAAAATGTTAATTTTTAGATCATCGAAGCTTTTCTGGCGATTTTCCCCATCAGTTCCACTTGGGAACGTCATTAGAAATCGTCACAGCCTGTCACAACAAGTCGCGTTGCGTTACAGGCGGCCAATGTCGGTTCCCTCAAGAAGTTGCCAGAAGACGTGGGATGTGTTGCGCACGTCAACAACACCTTCCTCAACTTCTACGTGAGGACAGGCCATGATTTTAGCCAGCTCAGGGATATAGATTCTGGCCATACAGTAGATGTGCTGATGTGAATTTTCAACTTTGAAAAAACAACTCTTTGGTTGAACATTGAACCCATATCTTATATATTGTCAATGTACTGTCAGTGCTTGGCCCAACAGGGCCATATTGACAGGGCTTGGGGTTCATGTCCTGTGTCTTGACTTTTTTTTTTTTTAAATAAATGGCTTTGAAGATAACCACAATGGATGGAGATATTTTGGAGCTGGATTCGGGGATGTTTGCCTGTGAGGATGGACCATCCGAAGCGGGACGACAAGGACACGATGGAGAAGCTATTTCGTAGCCAAAGCGAAGGAAGCGCTTTGGCTGCACCTGGCCCCTAGTACTGCTGAAGCTTCTGGTCAGCTTTGTCCCTGATAAATCCAGTCTTTTCCCCGAATATAAATGACATACCCTCAAGAATAAGTAGATCCAAAACACATTCAAAGATTTTATTTGGGGAATAGCATTTACGGGAAGGGTTTCGTATGGTTGGCAAGTGGGTCGATTCACTTTGACAGATGCCGCTCATGGGCGACCCCGCCCAGCTATGGAGTGGTGGCTATGCAGCTATGCCATGCTATGCCTATCAATCGCATCTCCTGCTAAACCCCCCAAAATCTGGATCCACGTCTGGCAAAAAGTGTCAAATCTTTCGGGAATACTCGAAGTGAAGTTGAACTGAAGACAAATCACAGGTTGAGCCAGGGTGAGGAAAATCGCAGCTGTTGGGCTTGAAGATGGACCGAGACATGAACAGACTAGCGTTTCTTGGGGTGTTTATGCTGAAAGGGATTGCGGTACAGAATTATGATCGTATTGTTAGGGACACCTTACAGGAACCGATTCATACACGACAAAACATGGAAAATCTGGAGATTTCCCTGGAAGACCGATCCTTTGACATTATTTATTAATATATTATTACTATAACAATTGTTCATCACCATACATGATGCTTCGTTAAATGATGCCTAGTTACGGAACCCTCAAAATCACCTCATTCGGAGTTGGTGAGTCACATTATGTTGTGGCCCAACGCCATAAACCAACTCCCAATATACCTATAGTACCATTTGGCAGGTAGTATCAAGCATGCCATCAAAATGGGGAAAAAACATCACTATTGGTGAATCCACCCTTTATTTTGCAATCCATTCAGCTTATGTAGACCATCCTGCGCAAAATCATATTCAAACATTGGCTAACAAGTATCCTTTTCTGTGGTATGTGACATTCGTTTGTCATTGATTTAGGGCTTTCTTAAGATGGGGGATCCCCGAAACCAACCATGGCTTTCAATACTAACATGATCCGATTTTGGAGGATGAAATTGGGTACTCACAATTTTAGGAGACCTATGGAGACCTCCATTTATCATTTTTATATCATTTTTATCATTGGTTCACCACCCTGAGGGACCCTTTGTTTGTTGATTTCCTGAGTCACTGCCCATGCCAAGGCTTTGGATCTTTGCGTTCTGACAGTACGATGGACGTCCAGGGCACTCAGGAGCAGAGGATGCCTAAGGCCTGTGGTCGTTCGGGATTTCACCAAAGATTGGGATTGAATGGGGGTTTATATGATTTTATTCTATTTTATTGAGGAAAAATGGGACTTATATGGGAGATATGGTGTTTTTTCAGCATCAATAGGGATTTGACCGCTGAAGAACTGATATTTGGTGTCTAAGTTTGTTAGCAACGTTGGTCGACAACTAGGTCTTCTGACTTGTGCTTTGTGATTTGTGACTAGGGTTCATGGTGATTCTAATTATACTTACATGGCTTTGTAAACCAACTTATGACTGTGGGACATCACGTTGCACCATATTTCCGTGGTTGATTCTCTGGCTAATGAACATCCAAACATGCAAGTTGGGTCATACATGGTCATACAGTTTTCGATTTTTCGATGAATTTCAGGCACATTTTCGCAGGTCCTGGCATCGAAGTGGTGGTCAAAATCCATTATTTTAATGATCACGGCGACACGCATCCATGAGCAACAGCAGCAACAGCCATTTTGATGTGAACAGAAGTGTGAAGGGATCCTGATCTATGGAATAACCATGTGTGAGAACACTATGAATTCATGTGTGGACACACTGTACTTGGTATCGCCAACAATGATGGAGACCAACGTTTCTCTTGCATTGATTAGCAGAGGCGTAACCCATGGCCCTCCTTTCACCATCTAGGTAAATGATGGCCCTGACCTGTCCTAGTTCAATGTATCGATGATTAAATTTCCAGATGGGGCCTGCCATGGCTGAAAAATGATGGCGTGAATGGCATGCTAGTGGCCCCATGCACCGGTTCCCAGAGTTCCAAGCGTGCCCACCAGGATGGTGACAGCGCCAGCGAGAACGCCAGCGCCGAGACTGGCTTAGGTGAGGTATCGCCAAGTGACGCAGTTGGAGGCTCAGTGATTGCTGGCGCGGGAGGATTCGCTCGGGACTTAGATGATTTCTTTCCCATTAAGATCCATTGGGGACAACTGGGGGTTCTTGAAATAGGGGTACCCGGGGTACCCCTAAATCATCATTTTTTTTTGATTTTACAGTATAAACCATCCATTTTGGAGATCCCCCATTCAACGGCAACCACGGGCCGACTCGGGTTGCAAGCCCACAAGTAGTCGCGGCCCTTGCAGAACCAACTTTGCGGACACTTAGGCGCTTTGGACAAAAGTGATGCAATCAAGTACTCATCAAATTCTCAACCCCTAACATGGAAACGCCAAAAGAATGCACTTGGCTATGGATCAATACCTATTAATACCATTTTTAGTGGGATGAACATCCATTTACCAGCTATTTTGGGGTTCACCAGGGGTACCAGGTTTTGACCCATCCCCATTTGGCACATATTTTTGCCAAACGGGTGTGACCATGTTTGGCGAGGTCACGACAGTCGTGACCTCCACGTTGACAAGTTACCTGAACGACTCAGGCTGTCTGGGCTTAGGTGATGGGTTTACCACCTCGATACATAGGTATATAGAATTATATAGATGGATATTAGATGGATAAGTAAATAAATAAACAATAAACAAATAAACAAACAGACAGACAGACAGACAGACAGATAGATAGATAGAGATAGATTGTATGCAACCCTCTTTGTTTTGGTACGTTCCATTTGCTTGTCACAGCCTGGAATTTATTCGCCCCCTCCTGATTTTGTGGATCACATTTTTTTTTCGGGGGTACAGCCCTATATGGGCAGCCACATCCCCAAGTTTGGACATTCTCATATCTTTGATTGTGTGTACTGGTGCCCTCCTGTGATCAAACATGTCTAAGTTCAATGACACTGAAGGTTATCCGAACTTTAAGTCAACATTTGTCCCCGGAGGGTATTTTTTTTTGTCAAGTTTCTTTTTTGTGTTTTCAGCCTGGGGCAGCTTTCCTTGCTATTTGCTGCATTTTGGAGCTAAAATCTGTGATTTGCATGCATTTTGGAGCTAGGATCTCCCATTTGCATGCCTACTTGGCTTTTGGCTTTTGGATTTTGGCTTTGTGGCTTTGGCTTCACTTGGCTTTTGGCTTTTGGCCATTGGCTTCACTTGGCTCTTGGCTTTTGTTGGGTTTTAGTATTGCAGTTTGCATATAACATTTCATATACTGCATTGCATATAAATTACATGTAAACTGCACAGAAACTACAGACATATAGATGGGAGCTTCTATGCATGCTGTTCTAAGAGGAATCGAGACCTGTTTTCAACGAGAGTCCCAACAACTGTTTGTTCCTAAAGTTCTTAAGACCGTATTTCAAGACACTTGTTGAACTGTGTTCTCCAACTATATTTGCTTGATTTGTGATATTTGTGTTTCACAATGGTTGCGTGGCAGTCAGAGGTTTACCTTTGAGTTTGTATGCATGCTTGTGTGAGAGAGAAATTGCAACCTTTTTTCAACATCAAGTATCCAAACTAGCTCTTGTTTATGTCTGAAAAGGACACTTGTTGAATCTGGTCACCAGCTATATCTACGTGAGTTGATTTGTGTGAAACCCTAAAGAATCCCCAAATGAAACCCTAAATGAAACCCTAAAGACAACCTAAATGAAACCCTAAAGAAACCTTAAATGAACCCACAAAGAAACCCTAAAAGAAATCCTGAAGAATCCACCAAAGAAATCCCAAATGAAACCCTAAAGAGACCCTAAATGAACCCTAAATGACATCCCATAAAGGAGCCAAAAGAAACCCTAAAGAACCCTAAATGAAACCCTAAAGAATCTTTGACACCATGGAAAAATCACTGAAGATCATCAAGAAATCGATGACACCATCCAGACATCCTTGAAAAGCATAGGAAAATGGGTGAAAGCCAACATGTTGCAAATACCGTGCATTTTTTGCGATTTTAGCTCCTAAATATTGCGATTTTAGTTCCGAAATGCCGCAAATAGCATGCAAAATGAGAGATTTTAGTTCCAAAACGCAGCAAATAGCACTCACTTTAGCTCCAAAATGCAGCAAATGCAGACTGAAAAAAACATAAACACGCACAAGACAAAGAGACTTACCCTTTGGCAATTTGAAATGGAACATCACACTTTTTTAAAAGTAAATAGCCTATCAATGGGTCCCCTACAAAGGCTGATCTTAGACCCAGTGATTACAGTTGTATCTCCGCCACCGCCAGGAACAGAGCCGCCAATCCCCACCAAAGGGAAGGGCAAAGGCCCCCGGTCTGGCAGGGTAGAAGGGTGGATAGGAGAGAGCCAAGGAGCTATGGTATCTACACCCAGGGGTATCCGTGTTCCCTAATCACCATGGGTAACCAAGGAGATACTAAGAGATACTACGAGTTTCCCAGCCACATATTGGAACATTTTCCGCATTTTTAATCGATTGGTTTGACAACAAATATGACGGTTTGCCCTCGTTTTTCCTTAACCATGAATGGGGCTTTGCTTAACCTGAGGCGTGCCAAACAAATGACGTTGTTTTCTGCAAATTTGATGGTTGAAACAAGAACCCCAAAACACATACATGGCAGGGAACCTATTTGGTAGCCATATACGATGCAAAAACCACTCTTTAGCAATTTTCAGCATCCCCATGATAATGAAACACTCCCCCAAAGCCTGGTTAAGTTGGGGTTTTGGGGTCCCATCTCTTGTTCTTGGGCCATGGATTGAGTGTGAGCTTGGGCACCACGACGTCGAGGTCCAAGACAGGGGCCTATCCAACAGAAAGTTCCTTGGCTTGTGATTCAGCATCGTTGGTTATAATTTTGATAATTTTGGGAGCTCTGGACCCAACGTGACTTGCCCACAGATTTCAGATCGACATTTGGATGTCCAGAGGTTCATTTCCTTTCGCATGATGTTTTGCAGGTACGTTTCGGGACCGTTTTGGTTCCAAGCATCCAAGTCTTGGATTCCCCCACAGAAATGCTTTGCTCGGATCCGGGCATGTCATGGCAGGACTTCTACGCGACCCAGAAGCAGAAGGGGTTCACGAAGGTGACCTCAAAGAATTCAATCAAAGGCGCATCGAGCAGCGGAACTTGCAGGCGGGGCTTGTTTCTGCCAGCGGACCGAAAACCGTGCTGAGAACATGCAAGTACGTTACTAAATTCTTATTTTTGAGCTGACGCTTATCGTCGGCTCCGCCGGACTACTCGGTCTTCCATTTCATCGCAGTGTGGGCTTGAAAGGTATTGAATGAGGACCTGCTTCAGAAATATATTCCTTAGTTTTTTGGAACATATTTGTTGGAAATAGACGTTTTTTTTCGGGAGCAAGTGAGTTCCAGAAAGCTCCTGCGAAAGGTTTTCCCTAAAGAACTGCTGCCAATTTCAACTTGTTACTTCGTGTAAAGGCGCCTCCGTGCAAAGACTTCTCTGTGTAAAAGCTTTTGTGTGTAAATGTTTCCGTGTGTAAAAGTTTCTCTGTGTAAAGACTTCTTTGTGTAAAAGCTTCTCTGTGTGAAAGCGCGTCTGTGTAAAGATTTCTCTGTGTGTAAAAGCTTCCGTGTGTAATCTCTGTGTACAGGCTTCTCTGTGTAAAAGTTTCTGTGTGTAAACGCGTCTGTGTGTTAAAGCTCTAAAGACTTCTTTGTGTAACAGCTTTTGTGTGTAAAAGTTCCAAGACGTTTGTGTGCAAAAGCTCCTTAGAGGAAAGACTTCTCTGTGTAAAACCTTCTGTGTGTAAAAAGCTCCTCTGTGTAAAGGCTTCTTTGTGTAAAAGCCCCTGTGTGTGTAAAAGCTTGCTGTGTGTAAACGCTTTTGTGTGTAAACACTCCTCTGTATGAAGGCTTCTCTGTGTAAAAGCTTCTGTGTGGAAACGCGTCTGTGTGTAAAAAACCCTCTGTGTAAAGACTTCTTCGTGTAAAAACTTCTGTGTGTAAAAGCTCCTAGACGTTTGTCTGCAAAAGCTCCCTAGAGTAAAGACTTCTCTGTGTAAAACCTGTATGTAAAAATCTCCTTTGTGCAAAGACTTCTCTGTGTAAAAGCCCCTGTGTGTGTAAAAGCTTCTGTGCGTCTCCTCCCTCCAGCTTTCTTTCGGATCACGCTGTCGTCCAGTTTCAATCTGCAACGTTGTTTCTTGTGGAAGAATGCAAAGAACATGTGAAAGCATCGCGCGTTTAAACATTGCACATAAACAGCGCACAAAGTGCTGTAATTTACAACATTTTGCGCTGTCAGATGGCAAGAACGCACGTAAATACCACAGTTTTAGTCGCCGAAGGTGGAGAAAACACTGTTATTTACAGGGTTTCGTTCACGTCACGATGTTCGGTTTTTTGAAAAACGCGTAAATACAAACATTTTTTTGCGTTCATCAAAACAAAAAATCGGTTCAACAAGTGCAAACAATCCTGTAATTTACAAGGGTTGGGGCCGTCACGGGCAAAAACTGTGTAAATACCAACGTTTCAGCGCCCAAAAGTGGCCAAAACACCGCTATTTACAGTGTTTCGTGCCTTCCACGTTTTCTTCTCATTCCAAAAACTGTGTAAATACCATTATTCACAGGAGCCTACACTTCACCCCCCAAAACATTCCACATTTGAGGTCGCCCTCGTTATCCCAGAAGATGGGTATGGTTCATCATGCCTTATTTAAACCAAGTGCACTGGTCAAAATGCCCTTATTCCATGATCATGGTCCAGAAGAAAAATAAGGTCATATAGCCTTATTTTAAGCTAAGTGTACTGGTGAAAATGCCCTTATTCCAACATCATGTTCCAGAAGAAAAATAAGGTTCATATGGCCTTATTTTAGCCAAGTGCACTGGTGAAAATAAGGGTTATTATGCCTTATTTCGATCATGTTCGAACCACCATTCAAGCATTGGAAATAAGCCCTAAATAAGGCATTCTCCTCCAAAATCGGACGTTTTGGCAAAAACGACCGAAATAAGGCTATATTGCTTATTATTTTGGGGGGGAGTGTTGGGGAGTGAAGCGTAGGTCCCTGTGAATTAAATACCAGCATTTTTTGCGATCAACTTGCCAAACATGCTGTAATTTACAGTGTTTTTTTTTCTTTGTTTTCAAAAACGCGGGTATTTGCAGTGTTTTGTGCATCTCTAGTCTAAAGAAGTACTTGTATGTACAGCATTTGCTGCGTTTTTGCATTGCTCCCGCAAAAGAAGTTAAACCGCAAAAATGCTGTAATTTACAGCATTTTGTCAATTTCGATAAGTTTTGTACAAAAACGAGTGTTTTTACGAGCACGGTTTCCAGTCCGGTGGGCTGTTTCTGTCATCCAGGCTGTCCGCTCGTTTGATCGATAACGTTGAGCAGCGTGCCAGGCAAAACCAAGCAGGGAACAACCAGTGTAATCTGAACCAAGATGAAATTGGGAAACCATGCGTGGATGAATTGTCCAAGTTGGTCAACAAAGACAAGAATGCTACGCCGCTTCTTGGAGATAATGCGAACAGTGGGCCAAACGTCTCCTTGGGTAAAGAGCTGATGAGTTGATTGATGGATAGATAGGTTATCAGTTTGGCTTCTTGGGGGCTGGTTGCAATGATGCGGCGCAGGACACAAGCATGGTGGTTAAATATGCAATGATTCAACTTGTGTCATGCATTGTTGGTCCAACTGCCATTTCTCCTCATTTTCAAGCCCTGAGCCATTGTGCAATTAGGATTTCCATGGATAGCCATGGGGTAACATGGCCATTGAAGCAAACAAAAGGACTGGCCCTTCACTTCCGACCTTGTGCCGAGGCTTAATCAGCTTCACCTCCCAACTTTCGACGATTTCAGTACGGATAACCTGGCAAATACCATGTGGCTGGGATGAGAACTCCCAGCAGTTGTTGGAGAGCTGGTGAAATATTTGGAATGCCAGTGGAAACACTGAATTCCACGACGTCCTGTTTCTTGATTTCTAGAGGGACTAGAGGGGGTAAGAACTTCCCAGAAGTATTCTAGGTCACTGGCATAATCTCAGTCACTTACCACCATCTGCCACCTATTTGGCCAACGGTGGAACATTGCCCTTTGTGGCAGGTGGCATTGCATGAAACTTTGCGAAAAAACGGAGAACCAGGAATTCGTCGAGCGCATCTTAGTTCCTGTGCTAAAGGCTGGGGCAGACATACTTTGTGTAGGAAAACCCTCAGATAGCGGGCATTTTTGCATTGTATGCACACATGCATAGGTGCACACACACACACAAATGTGTATCTACTTACCTGCCTACCTATCAATCTTCTACTCATGGATCTCTGTCTCTTTCTCTTCTCTCTATTGTCGCAAATATATGCAAATATATAAATTACACGAAGGCAATTTCACAGATTGATATGTACAGCCAGAGTGCTGTACGTATAAGAATCCGAAGATCGCAGTCCACGATCCCTCAAATTCTCAATTTAAATTGTCAACAATTTTGGGGAGATAAGTTGAGGGTCCCTCCAATTCTTATCGCTTTCTTCATTTAGTATTGGATGCAGTGCCAAGCTCCAAACCCAAAGAACTGAAACCACCAACCCCAAATGACAAGAAACTAGCCGATCTTTTGCAATTTTGGCAGCCTTGGGCCTCTACTTCTACTGAAGATACTGAAGCCACAGAAACTGCAAACTAGCTGCCAGTTTGCAGTGGGGATTTGGTGGCTTCAATAAGGCTGAAAATTGTAAGAATTGTATTCGTTGTGAGTAGGTTTCTTCGTTTAGGTTTGAGCCCAGTGAATTCATATGGGTATCATCAAGGCATGTGAAAAGTCTTGTTCGCAGCTAGTTTGCAGTCTTAAGGTTTGGGGGTTGAAGCGAAGAAACTGAGTCAGAAGCACAGACATAGTGAGACTAGGCCCTATAGCCTATAATGCGATAATGCCTTCAGAATTTCGTCGCTCTGCGTGAGGCCCCCTCAATTTCTGAAGGTAGATGTTGGGATTGGAGCGCCCTTCAGATTGTTACACAGTACATTCTTATACAGCACGTGGGCTGTAAGTCATTTACTATCTTCTGTTCTCACATCCAACCTCCCAAGATCGTATTCTCTCCGCCTCTCTTACGCCAGGCCGCGGAAGCAAAGGTCGGACAATTTCGCTACAAGTACTTGGCCATGGCGCTCTTCTCTGTGGCTGGCTATCGAGAGAAAACCATTTCCGAAAGAGGAGAGCCACGCGTTCTGCGCTGTGTCAGATGGACCTCATAGTTAGATCTTTGGAATAGGCCTTCAATGTAGCCGCGGTAGCATATATCCATCTCGATCAGCATCAGATAACGACTGTTGGAGATGATTTCACAAGGAACCAGAGATGTTGAGTTTGCTTTTTGGTAAAGTTTTGCCGTCGGTGCCGGAGCATGGAATCTCAACCGCGGCATCTCCAATCAAGACATGATTAGCGATTCTCTAAACTGTTTCTTTTCGCGTTCGGTTTCGGTGCCCGTGGGTTTGACCCACTTCTTAGATAATTCCCAGATGTACCGTGCATCATGCAAGGACGAAACGCCGTGGATGCCTTCGCGCCGATTTTTGCGCAAGCTTATACGGAATGGCTTGAGAGTACAAAGGATCTCAAGTCAAAGGATGCCCGACAAGGAGGGGATCAGAGCTGTGAAGAAAAATGGGGCATGGCTTTTCTGGTGGGCTCAGGTCGAAATTGCCAAGTTGGTGAAGTTCACTAAATTATACAAGTATGAATGATTAACTAACTAAGGCTTATGTTAGGTATGTATAGATATACTGCAACTGTCTGAGGCTGCAGTTAGATGAGGTTATAAATCAACTTAAGGCACTGCCTTGTAGGATTCTCGTGGGTTCTCAGTTTTGGGCGCTTGGCGCAACCATCCCAGACTCTGGAATCTCCGGAGCAAACTCCCTGCGCCAGGGGTTGCCAACGCGCTCAACGCAGTCGGGAGGTTGTCCAACTTGGGGAACCATGCGGAAAACCTTTGCATCGCGGTCTCCAGGGCCCTCCTGCAGGAGGATGGGACTTGCGGTACCAAGACGGTTATTGAGGTCATGCAGTTCCAGGCGAAGGAGCTGTCCATGGCCGTGCCACTTGGACGACTTGGTGCCGGGCAGTTCTTTACACCTCAAAGAGTTTCGCATTTGGGGTATTTTCTAATGTTTTTTTTATCGTGTTTTGGCAGTCAATGAGCTCAATGTCGGTTGGATCATATAACATTGTGTCCACCCAATCAAATGGCAGCAAGCCCGGCAACCCAGCTGGGGGTTCTGCAAGTTTGAAGAACTACAGTCGGCTTCTTTGGCAGGATTGTTTTGCCACGGCTCCTGCAGTTGAGGCACGGTATGTCAAAGGTCTTCAAACAGAAGAAGACGCAGGAGCAGGAGAAGCCGGACGAAGTCAAACGATTTGCCGCTGCAGCGTTCAAGCAGGCCCGTTGCCACATTGTACATTGTGATGCCGGCCAGACTGGGTCAACTTCATACTTTCAGCCAGCGTTCTGGTTTTTGGCTGACATCATGAATCCGAGGCCAGAGAAAAGATAAAAGATCAATCCGACCAGGGGTTGTCCAACATTGCAATGGCTGTGGTCAACTTGCTCCTTGGACATCAATTTATAAGTATAAGTATATGTTGGAGATGATCTTGTGGTTAGTGATGGTCAGCGACAATTTTCGGATTGCCCAGCACTTGAGAGACCGCAGGCCCTGGCCTTTTGTAGGTTTGCAGGATTTCTTGAGTTTTGTGGCCATGTGAGATGTCGATTTTTTAAGGAGGATGCAGACATGTGGCGCAGCTGCATTTGAAAAGCAACTTTGGATGATTTTGGGCCCGCCTCATTCCAATGATTTTGGTTTCTGGCAGCATTTGGCCAGAGGATTTGGCCAGAGGATTTGGCCAGCATTTTCAGCTTCCATGTGTTTGCTGGCTTTGAATTATTCCAAAGCTGGAAGGTTTCAGTCCTAAAAAAAGCCAGCTCTGGCCATCGCCAAATCTTGGGTGTTCTGTGGCTTGGATGCTGATATTTCACACCGTCAGGTCATGAAGGTAAAGAGTTTTTGCGGGCTGCGGCAGTTGCAGCCACGGAGAAAATGAAGGACAGGAAAGAGTATTTCGCTGGACAGGCCAGGCTTTTTGCACGAATTCTTGGCAGATCGATTGGATCTGAGCATATGAGGGTGCTTTTGCTAGCTGATTTTAGTGCAAAATCTTGAAAGAGATCCAAGATTCTTCAACCCCCGCAATGGATGTTGTTTGGGTTTTTCCAGAACTTGTCCATACCCCAATTTATGGCAATTTTGATGGGGAAACTCGTAAACCATTGGATTCTGGGGTATTCCATTTTCAGACACCCATTTGACACAGCCAACATGGCCAACCTTTAGAGCTTTAAGAAGGTCCCCGGGCGACAGACGGACTGGTAATTTTGAGTTTCAACCATCCAAACTTTGGGTGTTTCCTTCATACATGCTCATTTTGGTGGTGAAATTCAATTCCATCTTGATTGGCAAGCCGTCCCAATATTCACTGCCTAGATCCACATACAGTAGCGCATATTATTGGGCTTAACATATTGTTTTCTTGAGTAAAGACTCCTATGCTTTGATGGTAGGATAAGCTGCCATTTTCTTTGTGGGATTACTGATGTGGCTTTGTTTGAAATTGGGGGATCCAAAATTCCAAAGGATTGCCATCATTCATCATCCTTCCAGGTTTAAGTTGCCATTTGGCGGTACCACTTTTTGACAAACCCATAATGATTTCTGTTGGTGAGGGTTTGATTTCCCTCGTAGCGTCACTCAACGATTGTATGATTGGACACTTAGCACCGATGGCATATGGTCCTATTTTCATTCCATCCTATTAGAGCAGTTTCAAACCCCGGCGTTGGTTGATGATGATAGGGGGCTGTACTACCATCGCATCATATATTGGGGATTGTCACAATCCGATATCGGATAGCCACTAGTCACTAACCAACGCTCACTCTGGGGATTTTCCAACGGTTTTCCAGTCTGGCTTCTTGGCTTTCGTGGCTTTGTGGCTTTAAAGACTTTTGAATTCTTGGCTTTTTGCCTTTTGTGGTTTCTTGGCGGCATGCTGCAATCATTGTGCCGACAAAGAGTAAAACATCAATTGAAGGAAGAACAGGACAATAATACTGTTGCATAAGAAAGACAAGATCCAATAGTTGAATATTAATGAACGTTTTGATAACACCCCAGGAAACTATTTGCACCCAGCACGGTTGTGCCTCAACATACATTCTGCATGCTCACAAAGTGTATGTTACATTGCACGCGCACACACATGTTCACTGAGTACAATATTGAACCTACAGCATTACTATAATGCCATTACATGTGAGAAAATGTATTGTCATTTTGCTTCGAATTTCTGCCAACAAGAGATCCAAGGTCCGAAATTGTGCAAATACTGTCAAAATTACGTAGCGCTTTTAGATCTAAAATGCTGCAAATAGCGTGCAAATGAGCGATTTTAGCTCCCAAATGCAGCAAATGACAAGGACAAGTGCCTTAGACTGAACAAGCAAACAAGAAAACAAAGCAAACACAAAATCACCAGAAAAACCTGCACCCTTTTCCGACCCTCGTAGCAGCCAAACGATAGAAAGGGGTGGGCCCTGAAGCCGCCGCAAAATCGGCAGCTTTTGGCCACCAGGCTGTGGCCAATTTGTGCTCCGCGGTAAAAGACTTGGAGCCTTGTGAAGAGAAGGCCGCGGTCGAAAGCGAGGGGGCATCCTGAGGGCTAGATACGTATTAGTATGGAGACATAGTATTATTACGCGCAACCCCCCCACTTCGCCCACACAACTTCTTAGGGATTTTGAAGGAATATAAATTCCGACCCGCGTTAAACTTTACATTCAATGGGGAAGATCAACAAGGGTATTAGGAAAATAAATTACCACCCCCGTTAAACTTTACTGGTACATTCAATTGGGAAGATCAACAAGGGGATTAGGAATATAAATTCCCACCCCCGTTAAACTTTACATTCAACTGGGAAGATCGACAAGGGGATTAGGAATGTAAATTCCCACCCCCGCTAAACTTTACATTCAATTGGGAAGATCAACAAGGGGATTAGGAATGTAAATTCCCACCCCCGTTAAACTTTACATTCAATTGGGAAGATCGACAAGGGGATTAGGAATATAAATTCCCACCCCCGTTAAACTTTACATTCAATTGGGAAGATCGACAAGGGGATTAGGAATATAAATTCCCACCCCCGTTAAACTTTACATTCAATTGGGGAGATCAACAAGGGTATTAGGAATGTAAATTCCCACCCCCGTTAAACTTTACTGGTACATGCAATTGGGAAGATCAACAAGGGGATTAGGAATATAAATTTCTACCCCCGTTAAACTTTACATTCAATTGGGAAGATCAAGAAGGGTATTAGGAATGTAAAATTCCCACCCCGTTAAACTTGACATTCAATTGGGAAGACCAAGAAGGGTATTGGGAATGTAAAATTCTCACCGCCGTTAAGCTTTACATTCACTTGGGAAGATCAACAAGGGTATTAGGGAAGACCAGAGGATGGTGATGATGATGTTGATGCTGTTGATGCTGTTGATGATGAAGAAGGTGAAGAAGAAGAAGATGAAGAAGAAGATGAAAATGATGATGATGATGATGATGGTGATGATGCTGATGGTGATGCTGATGGTGATGATGTTGTTGTTGTTGTTGTTGCTGTTGCTGCTGCTGCTGCTGGTGTTGTTGTTGTTGTTGTTGTTGTTGTTGTTGTTGTTGTTGTTGTTGTTGTTGTTGTTGTTACATTCAACGCACAGGTAACTAAGCTGTGCGTTGCAAAATGAAAGCCATGAGCATGGACATGTGCATTTTGTCCCACAAAACACAAGTGTTTTTCGATATTGGGACATGTCGTCGGCGTCAGCGCGGGCAAACTGAGGGGTTTGCCCGTATAGCTACATACATGTGTGTATATATATATATATATAGTGTGTATATATATATATGTGTGTATATATATATATGCATATATATATATGTATATATATATATATTGACACATACATATACATATACATATGCATATACATATACATGTACATATGCATATACATATACATATACATATGCATATACATATACATATACAGATTTCAGGTCTGGTTCTTGGAAGTGGCGGTGGGCTATGTCGAAGCACACGAAGAGCGACTTTCCTGGAAGGATCTTGCTGAGGTTATGGTATCGCTTGCCCTCCATGTCCAAAATTGCGAGACTTTGGGGCTCACCTGTAGCGAGACTTTGTGGCTCGGCTTTGATGGATGCGGTCCCGAAAGGGCCGAAACTTAAAAACACATGGGATCAACAGAGAAACAGAAAGGGATGATTCACTTTATGATTTTTGTTTCCGTGTTTGTTTTGGCAACCTGATTTACCAAATTGAACATTTTTCCACATATCTCTTGGGTCTTTATAGGGCCTGCCCAATTTTATGGCATTTTTTGAAGTATCATTTTTGATGGGGCGGCAAATGATGATAAATTATGGAATTTTACGGGGTTCCATGACCAACATATTGTAAACAATTTTCAGACCATAACACCCCAAATCAACAGAGGGGCGTGGTTTGTATGCCCAAAACTGGATGACAAAAATACGTCTAAATGCTGTAGATTAACCATATGGGGATCAGATAGATGGTAGTCTCGAGCTGCCTCAACTTGGATAAAATTTCGTTGAAACCCCCCACTTCCCAAGGTGGTACTTTGCAGAGACAATTTTGAAAAAGGCAGAGAACGCGCGGTTCCTGAGCCGAATTTTTTTTTGGCGCCGTTCCGGTCCCCCAGCAATGGAGATCAGACATGGGACCACCTGATTTTTTTTCTCCAACTCTAAGGTGAAGGGTCAGGTATTCCCTTCCCCCCAATACATTATAAATGAACATCAAAAACCCTGATATATTTGTATTGGATCTATTCGCGTTTGGGGCCCATCAAGCTGAGAAATGTGCATCTCACCCCGTCACTAGAGCTAAGGTTGTCCTGATTTGGGTTATTTGGCTTATTTGGGGGCTTGATTTCTGATGCGTTTCCATTGAAACGAAATTCCTATAGCCCCAATGGTCGGATCAGCTTAGCTATTCATGTCAAATTCATGTCTAATTTAGAGCCATTCAGCTGATTTTGGTTTGGTTGGTGCTACCTATTTTTCACAGTTCACATCCCCGTCCCGCAATTTCCGGCCTAGGACGAAGAAGAAAGAGAAACAGCATGTCCAAAGCATTTCAGATGCTGCGAAGAAGATCCTCCGGAGTAGAGTCTTTGGAAAAATTGGCCCAATGTGTTGGGCCATATGTTTCCAGCCGTGGGAAAAAACTCAGAAAAAAGGCAACCTAGCGTCTCAAAGGTATAGAAAGTGGTGAGACACACACCACTGGTCGAGTGGGTACAGAAGTGGCTGCCTGGTTTCCAGCAGCAGACCACTTGCTTTGCACACTCCAATGGAGTGGCTGAACTGGAGCCTGAGCCATGCCGGGTTACCAGACCTGCCTTGTTTGCAAGTTTGCAATTTTCGTGAGGTGGAGCAGCATTCAACGTGGAGCAGACTCCCTTGGTGAACATGGAACCCATTTTCCGGCATGTCAAAAAGATTCAAAAAGGATCGTCCCCACAGCTTTTTTTAGGGGTTCCTGATGTGGAGGTTCCATGTTCATTTGTGGAAAGGACTGCCACGTTCATGCTTTCGCAGCCAAATCAATATGGACCTTGTGAACACACACCTTCACTGACTAAACATGCAGGTGTGTCCAAAATTCCTGGACCCTTGTAGTCTTCCATTTCATGGTCTAAGTCTAAGTGAGAAGTCGGGAAACCCATACCTGAAGAGTTTTTTTTTGGACACATTCAAATGGCCCCATGGCCCACCTTGCGACGTTCGGAGAATCTCCTAGCAGTTAATAAGCTTTTAGCACTGCCCAGTGGCCCCAAGCAGAGAAAGGTTTTGGGAATGGCAGGCAAGACCCGTCTCGGGTAGGGTCGTCGCTGTCAACGAAAAAAAGCAGTGAAGCATGGGATCATCCCAAACTGCGCAGACAAATTTGCTTCCGCAAAATCCAAACCCATTCGCAAGTGGGATTGGAAGCCGCCTTCGATGTCCCATAGCTCTGCGCTGCTTGCAGATCTTGCAGGTTCTTTGACAGCCAAGTTGTATCAATTTGTGACATCCCGGCCCTTGGTGGTTGAAAGCAGCTGAGGCTCAAGAGGATTTCATTTTACAATAAAGAGGCCTTGTATTTTTCAGGGGCAAATTCGCTTGAAGTTGGCTCGGTGAACCATTTGCAAATGGAAATTGGTCCTTTACCATGTGTGCCGGCCACGGAAGCAAGTGAGCATCACTACCAAGCACTAAATTTGAGCTTCAGCTGAGTGGGATTGCATGGCTTTTTCAGAGTCTTAGAGTCTGGTGCGAAACGATAAGGTAGGGTAGTTTTTTTTTTTGTCACTTTTTTCCCCACATCTTTGTGTGGGGTTCTTGTTTCTGGTTCTGTATCCCGTCCGCCTCCTCCTCCTTTTTCGTGCGCTCCGTCCCAGACACTCTTACACATACAACTTGTCACACACACACACAACTTTGTCACACACACACACAACGTGCGCACACACACACACTTTGTCACACATAATCTTTCACATGCAATTTGTCACACACACACGCACACAACTTTGTTACACACAGCTTTGTCACACACACACACAATCTTTCTCACACAGCTTTGTTACAAACATTTTTGCCACACACACACAACTTTGCCACACACACACACAATCTTTCACACGCAACTTTGTCACACACATCTTTGTCACAGACAACATTGTCACACATAATCTTGCACACACAACTTTGTCACACACACACACAATCTTTCACAGACACACACACACAACTTTGTCACACACAGCTTTGTCGCACACAATCTTTCACACACAACTTTGTCACACACATCTTTGTCACACACACACACACAACTTTGTCACACATAATCTTCCCGTCGCGCCTTTTTCCGTACGTGCGTTTTGCACAATTTCATCATCATCAGGTCCACTTAAAGTTCATTTCGTGTGGGAGGCATTAAGCGTTTTTTGTTCAGCATGCACAAAATGATGTGGAAATTGGCTGGCGTTTTTGGAAAAAAGTAATATTTCGCTTGTGTTTTCATGCAATTTTGACCGAGAATTATGTGAAATTTAACATCGTTTGGAATAGGCTCTGCCCGCATAATATGTGTCATCGCATCAAAACAGGAAAGAGAAAACGTGGCCTGCGTGGCATATTCATCATCATTTTTGTCCAAAATTTGTCGAAATCAGTACGCATTTAGAGTCGTTTTACTTTTCTTTTTCCTTCTCGCTGTGGTGCTGTACATGTATTTCTTCAAAGTGCTGTTTTCCCAATGACAGCCATCACAACACAGTCTGCGCACTTTGTTTTCTTCTTCACTTTCGCAGCAAGTTGAGCTGGTTGATGGTCTTCGTGCGAATCAGAGTGAGGCGATTGACATACCTCCACTGGAACGCGCGCAAGTAAACCTCAATCAATTCTGATTGGCTTCCCAGCTGTTTTGGAATGAATGCTTTGCACCCAGTCCACACTTGGTCAATTGTTCCGGTATGTACTTGAATGACTTCTCGTCCTCGTCTCAGTTCACCAGTAAACTGGCCAGCTGAATGGTTCACCACACCATCTAGAGACAGACGCTAAGAACGTTATTACACCCCCCACCCCACCAAACCCATTTCACAAGAGTATGTGCAGAGACGTTCACAGACGTGTGCTAGCGTAGCATCCAATGCGTGCCAGCAAGTACGTGAGACGGTGCTAGCGTAGCATGCCGTCATAGAAGAAAGACGATCACCTAGAGACAGACGCCAAGAACGTTATTACACCCCCCACCCCCCCAAACCCATGTCACAAGAGTATGTGCAGAGACGTTCACAGACGTGTGCTAGCGTAGCATCCAATGCGTGCCAGCAAGTACGTGACGGTGCTAGCGTAACATGCCGTCATAGAAGAAAGACGTTCACCTAGAGACAGACGCCAAGAACGTTATTACACCCCCCACCCCCCCATATGAGAAACGTCAAAAACCTGCATTTTACTAGTACGGTTTTCGGCGCGTAGGCATAATCTTGCACACACAACCTTGTCACACACACACACAATCTTTCACACACACACAACTTTGTCACACACAAGCTTCACACAGAACTTTGTCACACACAACTTTGTCGCACACATCTTTGTCACACACACACAACTTTGTCACACACATCTTTGTCACGCACAATCTTTCACACACAACTTTGTCAGTCACAGATAATCTTTAATCTTTCACTCGCAACTTTGTCACGCACTCACATCGACCTTCGTTTTGCGTGGCACGCGTGGCACTTATGGCACTGGGCTGGATCTGGCGGCGCGCTTGGCCGCCGTTGGTCGCCCGGGGCGCTGCGGCACTTTGCGTGGGAGGCGTGGCGCTTGCTCACATCAACCTTCGGTTTGCGTGGCAGGCGTGGCACTGTTGGCACTGGCCTGGATCTGGTGGCGCGCTTGGTCGCCGTTAGTCGCCCCACTCTTGATCCTCCTGCCGCCCGGCCAGCCCAGCGGATCAGCAGATCAACAGACCAGCGGATCAGCGGATCAGCGGAGTTGACGTGATAGCAGGCGACGGAAGCAAAGCTTGCTACCTTGCCACTTCGAAAGCCGGAGGCTGTCCTTCATATGAAGTCAGTTGGCTTCAGTTTTGGATCGACCGTATGATCCACACAGCCACTCAGTCGAGGCTCACGAATTACGGCAAGACACCACCAGTTCGTGTGAAGCATGTCATTTCTTGCTCCTACAAGGATCTCGTGTTTCTGGCGCAAGAGGAATCAAGGCCGAGACCTGTACGGCGGAGTTAGCCAAGAAGACTGAAGGTTATGGTGACTGTTGCATGATGTCCATATGTGAGTGGGGACGCGCAAGGTTAGAATTTGAGGAGGACATCAACGATTTTGATGATCAAGATCACATGGACCATGTTGGAGAGTTTAATTTTTCAGTCAATGAAACCTTTTTATCTTGTGACCACAACATCTTCATGGTTGCACCAGCGTACACTGACGCGTAACCAACTTCTTGTTCATTTGAAGCCTTCTGACATGGGATGGGAGGAGAAACATTCCTATGTACTTCCACCAAAGAAGATTCAATGCAAGGAACGGAGGAAGGATATTCAGAAGCAGAAGAAGCGCAAGGGTCAAGGCTTTGGTGATGGTCCCTTACTGGATTCATCATGGGACAACTGAAATGGCAGACCAACATGGGCACAAGACTCCAACACTGGCTATGGTGGTTCCTCATCTTCGTCAACAAGGCCATGGAGACCGAAGATAACACAAGATGGTTTTGCTTTGTCCAGTTTTTCTGTCAGCTGATTTGTTATTGCACAAAATGGTACATACTCTCACAGCAGAGAGATAATACCATTCCTGTGTACAGAGTTTTTTTTTTCCGTGATGATATATATATATATATATATTCTCTAACAGAGAGATAATATAACATTTGTCTCCACATACTTTCCGCTGAGCAGATCAATTCTGATGCGAATGAACCTTGTACCAACTCTGAATTTTATCCATTGTCGCTTGAATGAGCGACTTTGGAGATCCGAATTTCATCCGTGAATGTTGTGTTTGGTCAATTACTTTTTAGACTGACCCGAATTTCTGAATCTTGCATACAATTAGAGACTTTTCACCGATAGAGCACTTTGCCGTGATCGACCGTGCATTGCGCACCATTGTCGAAAAATAATTTGCAATCCGCTGTTTTTCACTTCGACATGTCTTTAGGACATTTGTCACAGATGATTTCGTTCGCGCTTCGTCATTTTGTATAGGCTCCACTGCGCACTCTCCGCTAGTTTTTGCTGATAAGCCAGCGTGTAATTTAGTTTGCTGGCTAGAACTCTTACTCTCAATTGGGTACGGCAAGGCATAGTGCTCAACTCATTGCCTTTGAATTTGTGCCTGTGTTTTTGTTTTGGACGCAACCCTACCAGGGCATAGCATGAGTACTGAGCACAGTTTATATACGCTGTCAAGGCTCAAGAGAGAGAAATAGAGGTATAGCTTGTACCCTAGGCGCTGCACTGATTGGCTATTGGCCGACAGAGGAAAACTATTGCTTGCAACCTGGGAAGACGCTCTAGCTGATCCTGTCTGGACGCTGCTGCCCCTCTTCAGCCATCCCCCAATCCCCCTCCCGTTTCTCTTTTTTAATCACCAACAGCATAGGTCTTCAGCCCAGAATAGCTCCGGTGTGCACTGGTGCAGGCGCCGGATCAGGTTCAAGGAGGTTCCGGAGAAGGTTCCGAAATTTTTGGAGAAGGTTTGGGAGGCTTTGGTACTCACGGAAACCCAGCTGAGGTGTTTCCAGCTTGGCTTCGCAGCACGTTTCAAAAAGATTAGCAAAAATAAAGCGTTGCGGCTGTTGGGGATACCACCCAAGCTTATTCAGATTCAATGTTGCACACTTTTCAACACACTAGTTTGACTATATAATTATTTTTAACATATGTATATATATATAT